TTATGCATCTCCCCTGTTCACTAGCCACGTTGACGCTAGGAGTGTACTTTTCGCTGCTCGCCAATTTACGTGCGCAATTTACTGCATCGCAAGCGCAGGAACTTGCGAACAGCGCCAATTCTCTGGCTGGTGTGCTTCCCCGATGCAGATCACTGCATGGTCCCAAATCCAACCCAACCCCGGCAAGTCAGGTGCTTGCAGCGTGCCTGGCATGCAGTCTGTGCAGTTATCACACCGAGTCACCTGGGCTACGTCTCCTTCTCTTTCTCAGTTGGGTTAGTATGTCCACTCACCGCGCTTTTCGTGTCGTCGGCAAATTATGGTCATTTCATCGAATATCTCCGAGAAGCAGTTATACACCGTTAACAATCCACTCTGTGCGATGGAGTTAGTTGTGCCCTCCAAGTGGGGTTCCACGACTGTTACTATGCTTGCTTTTCTCAAAATTTGGCGTGACGCCAAACTACCTGGATTCGTAGAGTTTCCTGTTTGGGAAATTTAGTCTGCTCTTCATTGCCGCTGCTGGATTTGTTGGGTGGTGGCGCCAAATTGTGCATTGCTTTGGTTCTACCTTGGCGATGGATCTCGCTAACTACCAGAGACCTGGCTCTATTGATCCGTGCGAGGCAAATAAAGCGCAAACATGATTGTCTGGTGTTCTCGCTTGACAGACGCTTACCTCGATGTGCAGTGGCTAAACTATACATTGCACATCTAGCATAGACTTGAATAACCTATGGCCACGCTGTCCAAAAGAAGGTTTTCTACTTACTGGATCCGGAACACATATCAGAATAAATTTACAATCGACCAAATGTAGGTAGAGTTTTCAGTAAATAGCAGGAGTAAAGCAACCAAATTATGAAAGTATTTCGAACATATGCAGCCTAGTTCTATCTACGCATGCGAGTCAATCTCAGAGCGAGGGCCATAAACGGAACAAATTGCTTCAACCACCTAACACCCAACAATACTATCATCTGAGTTGCATCATCATCGCCATCCTATTTCCTACCCTCATTGCCATGTGCTCCCATCTCACAAGACCCCCCACATTCCCTTGCAGTTCTATACAATTGATACTATTTCTGGCAACGAAGCATGACACCGCGGATGAACTTAGCCGGGGTTCCATATTCACAATCAACATAAATATAGATAAACCAACATAAAGTAACCAATCATCCAGCAAACTAAATCCCCAAAAGTAGACTCGGCGGGTAAGCACAATCTAGTGGATCAACAAGCTAAAATCAAAGAAAAGAAAAGAAAAGAACACCTCCATTACAGTTCTACCGTCCAGCGGCCCGGATCCGATCCAGATCTCCCATCTATCCATCCAACCCTAGATAGTAGCATGAACGAAAGTATCTAGTAAACTCCCAAAATAGAAACCCAGTCATCTTCCAATCATATTATCTGCTAGTATCAGATCACACCCACCCACTCAAATCAGATGTACATAGTAGCCGCCGCCATGTCCCCATCGACCCTCCCCGGCGTCTAAATGAGGGGTAAGGCATGGCATGGCATGGCATGGCAATCTAAGAATAGCTTTCCTTCCTTCACTCCAGACTAAACATCTAAAGACGCATGCATGAGATCATACTATACACTACCGGATAAGCATCTCTCGGGATAAACCTTCATCAATTAATAGTTCATGTCTTAATTTCGTTTCCAGAAATAGCCTGCATATCTTGATGCCGCTATTGCTTCAGCCTCGCTTGCCGAGCTTTTCATCAGATCCACAAGTTTAACGCTCTGCATGTAGCCGCCGGGATGATTCATTGGTATTGGATGTGTCGATGTGTCTGGTAAGGCTGGATTGGACTTGCTACATTCTTTGTAGCATATAGATCGGTGGGCAGATTGTGGCGGGATTGAATGGATGTTAGGCGCTGGGGGGATCCGGCTGGATGGGTCGTTGTCTTTGTTGGAGGGCTTTTAGCTAAGGATAACTCTTGTGAGTTGGTGGTTGTGGGTATTAGTTAGGCTGTATAATGTGTCATCTAGAGAGAGAGATGTTTTATCTTGGGAGAGTGAGGTGGTCACGATTGGCTATGAGTTCGTTGTAGAGGTTCTACGGTTGCTGTTCCGGCCGTTGGATGTTAGGGCGTTTGGGTGCCTGACAACTGTGGTTGATGCTATAATTAACTTGAAGTAAATTCGAAAAATGGCATGCAGACGGACTCTGGAGATTATTAGCTAGTAGCTTGGACTTGGCTCTCTCAGATTTCGGCGGTTATTTGATGCTTGAGCAGGTGATGCATATGCCATGAGATGGTTGCTAAATTTATCGCTATTGTCAACATGTATAATTTGTATACTCGGGGGTGTATACTGCTAAATCACATTATCAACTTGACTACTAGTTACAAAGTAAATGTTACTACTAATGTCATCAATCCAAAGTTCATGGGGAGTGCTCCTACTACTACCCGAGACAATATGTTAGGGTAAGTATATATTTCGGATCCGGTTCGGTGCTGCAATGATGCGATGATGTCACCACAACAAATAACAACACACTACTTTGTTCTGAAATCCCACAGCGAACTTACTGTAATGTCTATCTTATCATTCAGTTCCTAGTTAAATCATCTTCACTCATTCACACGGCCCTGCAGCCGCATGCTGTGCCTCCAGAATTGCCCACCGCTCATTGGCCAGCGCGGAGACCGATGCTTACCTATCGCATGCAGCTAAGGGCACCGACGACTGCGCAAAAATGCTGGCCTTTGTTTTCGCAGTCCTCCAGCCATCTGGGCGGAATTTACTCCTTCTTCATATCCTGTCGCATACCATGCGAAACAGACTGTCATGTTTCGTCTCCCGATAGTGCGCGCGTTCTTCCGCGCATCGCCCCAGTCGGCCACGGCTGCTTCGCTCCTCCACTCTACCCGCATCCCCTCTCACATTCCTCGCTCCACACCTCTAATCCGACGTCTTTCGTCAAGAACTCGTGGGACCTCTTCAACGGCCTTTCTGCCTTCGAGACTCCTTTCTCGTCAATCACAGTCCCGGCTTTTCTCCAAGTCCGCCCGCAGCCGTGCGAAGTATAATCGATTCGAAGAACCGCAGTTTCCCAGACTCCAAGATGGCGAGCATTTGCAGCTCTGGCTTGTACTCATTGCCGTCGGAGGAAGCTTCTATGTCTATAACTTGGAGACTGTGGAGGTGCGTTGCTCATACTCCATAGCCATATTCCATATGCAAAGCTAATGTTCTACGTCCTTAGCTGACGGGCCGCACTCGATTCAACTGTGTCTCCGACGAGCTCGAGAAACAGATGGGAGACCACGAATACCATGCAATCATGAACAGAGCTGAAGGCTTGGTCCTACCTCCCTGGCATCATATCTCCGAAGAAGTGACCCGAGTCTTCGAGCGGCTGATCGCTCATACACCCGTACAAGACACGAAATGGGAGGTGCACGTTATCAACGATATGTCGGAGCAGAACGCATTTGTCCTTCCGAAGTAAGGCATTCGACTACCTTTGGAAATCATACACTACAATCTTGGGATTGTTTGGCTGATGGGTATATCCTACAGTGGAAAGGTATTCGTGTATACTGGCATATTGCCGGTTTGCGGAAATGCTGATGGTCTTGCGGCGGTATTGGGCCATGAAATCGCTCATGTGCTGGCCCATCACCAGGCTGAACGGATGAGCCATTCTGTTCCTAGTGTCATTCTGACCTATGGGCTGGTATATATGTTTGGCAGTCTCGGACATTTCGCGTCCCAGATGTTGAATTGGACTGTCAATTTGCCGAACACGCGAGTGCAGGAGGTATGTGACTCACGGCGTATGGCTACATAAACTTCAACTGACATGTATGCAAGGCTGAGGCAGACAACATCGGGCTGAGTATGACATGCTTGTCATTCATTCGTAATGTCCTACTAATCCTTTATAGTGCTGATGGCCAAGGCTTGTTACAACCCTCGTGCCGTAGTTGACTTGTAAGTAAACACTCTCGATCTGCATATATCCTTGTTCTTTAAGCTAAAAAGTACCAGCTGGGACCACATGCACAAGAGTGAAAGAGTTCGTGTGCCTGAGTTCATGTCAACACATCCATCGGTGAGATAGTCCAATAACCCAATCCACTGGTCGATGTAACTAACGACGTCAAAGCATTTCAACCGCATGCAATCAATGAGCGAAAGGTAATATACCAGACTATCTAACCCACTATTCAACCAAGCTAACAAAATCACAGGCTATACAAAGCCGAATCCCTGTACGAAAACAGCGGATGCCATATGGTCAGAGGCTACAGTGAGCACCCAGCCAACACCCACCGAACTGCAGCTACAACATACTAACAACATCCCCAATTCAGTCCCTGAATTCACCGACGCAATCGACCACTACGCAGGTCCCCAGGAGAGAGCCCCCCCTATCAGAAGCCATCACCCGAGAGGTGGTCACCATGGCAGAGGCCATCATGAACAAATCCAGCCTGATGATAGCTCTGACGGCGAATACTTCTTCTGAAATTCCCTCGGGGTAAACTAACTGTAATACGATGATGAAATCCTGTCCTTGGATCCTTTCATCCTGATACTGTCGATCGGATCCGCACAAGGCATAGCGTAATATGAGCGATTTAGCATGTATCTATATACCTGTCTCGCGGTGATTTCTCTCGGGATACTCCACTCTGCTTGCATCAAATCTCTTTGGGAACTCTTCAGCTTTGAGTCATGCCATGTATCAAACACTAGCTCCTAAACGGACTAACGAGATCCTGATACCTCATCCCTGTAAGACGGTCAATCGGAGCCACAGCGCCGTCTACGCTTGATCGGCGAGTCGGGCGCAATGAACCACCGACGCTAAACCATGCCTACTGTATATAGATCCTCATGTACCTACCTACCTATAGACCAGCCATACGATACTCTACTTTCTCTATCATCTACATCTCTACTTATTGATGTCTACTACTACATCTACAATAAACTCACCCGAAACCCCCCAAACCATGACCAACCGCGTCCTAATCGCCGGCGGCGGCCTGGGCGGCCTCGCCCTCGCTCAAGGCCTCCGCAAGCACAACATCCCATTCACCGTCTTCGAACGAGACGCAAAGCAAGACTTCCGCGCCCAAGGCTACAGACTACGCGTCATGCAAGAGAACCTCCACACCCTCCTCGTCCCCGAAATATGGTCCTTGTTCGAGAAAACCGCTGCCCTGGACGACGGTCTCCCAGGCGTAGGTGTCCGACTCGACGCACTGACCGGGGCGCCCCTCCCCGCGGGTAGCGGTGGACCACCGCTCGGGATCCACGGAGCCAGACCGTACACTGTGGATCGGGGGACGATGCGCGAGGTCCTTCTGCAGGGTCTTGGGGAGGAGAATGTGCAGTTCGGGAAGCGTTTCGAGCGGTATGAGGTGAGGGATGAATGTGTAGTTGCGCATTTTGCGGATGGGAGTTCCGCGACGGGAGGGTTGCTCGTTGGTGCGGATGGAGCGAGGTCGCGAGTTAGAAGGCAGTTGGTGCCGTGGTATCCGTTTGTGGATACGGGGATGAGGATGATTTATGGGAAGACGGGGATCACGGGGGATGTGGAGGGGCGGTTGAATGAGTTGGCGAGGAGGGGGATGTCGTTGGCGAAGGATTTGAGGGAGGAGGCGCCGAAGACGTTGTTGTTTGAGCCGATGAGGATGCCGCAGGGTGATGTTGGAGGGGGGATTAAGTTGCCGGAGGATTATTTGTATTGGGTGTTGCTTGTTCATCGGGATGTTGTGGGTATGGAGGATGAGAAGGTCCTCAGGTTGAATGGAGAGGAGTCGGCGAGGTTGTCGATGGAGTTGTCGAGGGATTGGCATCCGTCGGTGAGGGTTTTGCTGGAGGAGCAGGATGCTGAGCAGACTTCAACGCTGAGGATGGCGTCTGTGAGGCCGGATGTGCCGGCTTGGGAGACGGATTTGAGGGTCACGCTGCTTGGGGATGCGGTTCATGTTATGCCGCCGACGGGTGGGCAGGGGGTGAATACGGCGTTGAGGGATGCGGCGGTTCTGGTTGAGAGGATTGTCGAGGCGAGGGAGGTGGGTGGAGGGGATGTTGTTGCGAGGTATGAGGAGGAGATGAGGCAGTATGCGCGCGACAGGGTCGGGTTGAGTTGGCAGGGCGGGTATAAGGCGTTTAATCTTAAGCCGCTGGAGGAGTGTGAGAGTGTTGAGTTGTCGTAGTGTGAATATTGCTCGAGATGTCTTATCGAGTGCTTGTTGGGTGGTGCGGAGGGTGAGAGGTCAGTCATCCTGTGGAAATGTTGGAGAGGCGTGCGGAGTAAGTCTGGAGAGAGGGAAATAATATGGAAGGGCGTGGTATTTGGCCAAGATACTGTGGCCTTTACGGCCAGAAGCCTGAACTTTACCCAATACAGGCTAGCGTTTAATAATATCTACTTATGTGGAAAATATCTTGGGTATCTTCCCATCTGCTTCCAGTGGCCAGCGATATATCGCTTAGTTCAAGAGAGATTCAACATGCTATCATGAGTGCCACCTATCCACACAGTTCTGATTTCATTCAATTATATGACTGTAGCTTGAAGCTTCGTGAATGCTAATCTTCAAATTTAATAGACCATATTGTGACGCTAAGCTTAGCGATTTGAATGCCAATATTTGATGAATAGTGACGAATTATCACTTGGGAAGAAATTAAATGTTTTCATGATAGGGAATATGTCACTTCACCATTCCCTTGGTTGTTTATATATATTTACCTCTGTCTCTACCTTTCAACTTGAACCCTTACATCTTCCCTACAAGCACCGACCCCTATTATATAGAAGAGATTTTGTCTGGGACATATCTCTCCGCTGCTCTCAGCAGCCGCGATATATCGTTTTGGTCTACTTGGTAGAGCTTTGACAGTCTTTTATAGATCTTTTATTATACCTCGAACTCCGGATGTTGAACAACTAGACTCAAATTCAATTGAGCTACGAATGTCTCAGAGAACGAACAAGCATCGCCACAGGCGATTAAGGGTATGTTCCGGCAGGAGGGTATCTCATTAATGAAGACCTGAATAGTGCCGAAGCCTTACGAAAGAGAATGTACACCATGGGCGGAATCGGGCCCGTACAATGTTGGTTGACTATTCCAAACGAACACAGTCTGCAAAACCGAGCGACGAACCTTCAAACAGCCGTCAACAATCCGCTTGCCTCCGATGGTGATTACGAATAATGTTGAGGTTCTTTCAATGCGCCGTAAAGTAGATGGAGATGGTATTGCAGACTCAAAAGCAGAGCTGTTAGGCTTCCTTAGTTGAATCTATGGGTATAACTGCGAAGAATTGGTTATGCCCTCGCTAAAAATGGGGAGAGGATTACAATAAAGAGGTTAGCCTGCTCGTGCATCACTTTATGCCCGTCTCTATTGGAATGCGTTCAAAAGTCAAATCCCAGTATACTTGATGCATTCTCCTTGACGCGATCATCCAAGCATCACATTGAAGCCATTTAAGAGCAGTAATATACTCCCCAAACCTCTTCATTTCACGAACAGGTTCTTCTATCCATTGAAGCGAAGGACAATCCTAAGCAACGGGTTGTCAAGGCCTGGGAGGCCTGGCTACTCAGAAAGATTCCTGATGATGTGCTGAGCGTTGATATTAAAGTGGAAGGATCTTTCCACAGCCACTCGACCGTCGTGTTACTAACTGTGCCAATTGAAGTGTGGACCATGCTCACGGATCATCCGGGATACAAGTTCATTTCCCTCGTTACCTCAAATAACGGACTCTTGAAGAATGAGGAGCTACCTCGTCGTCCAGCTCAATCCCGAGGCGAGAATGAGCCGCTATCTCCAAGAAAGCCAGTCAGGTGAAGGATTGGGCCGGTACAGCCATAAGGACTTGGGGAGCCTGCTACGTCTCTCGTCGTACTCTTGATATCTGTTCGCTTCGGCACCTTCGGGGACGTAGAAAGTCATTCTTACCGTGTCGCTTACTTATTTATGAGCTAAAAGGAATTGCGTTGATAATCAGATGGGCTCTGCAAGCTCTTAGCTTATCCTCGTGACTTCAGGAAACGTATCTGCCGTCGTACCTGCAAGGTGTTTTGACATTTGTTTCGTGCTGCAATTCCTATGCCCTAGCTCTATACTGAAATAGTAGGAGTTGTCTTCGAAGCCTGACAAGAAACAAGCCAACTCAAACGTTCTTGCGAAATTCCTGATACACGCTACAATGTCGAAAGGTTTCCCGATAATCAAGACCTGCCCTTACCCACAGCGTCGACAGAAGGATACCACCTTGACGAAGATGTCTCATTGATGGGTCTCCTATTCATTGAAGTGAAGGACAATCATAAACAACGGGGTGTCTAGGCCTGGGAGGCATGGGAACTCGGGAGTATCCCCGATGACGTGCTGAGCGTGGACATAAGAGTTGAAGGGGCACTCCACAACCACTCTACAGTTCTGTTGATAACAGTCCCCATTGAAGTGTGGATCATAACTCCGGATCTTCCAGGATACAAATTGGTATCACATGCGACGTCTAACAACGGATTTATCACGTCAGAGCAATACCCCATAGACAGAGAACAAATATCGACTGGGCTTATAACGGTTGACTATTTAATTGAAGGGCATTTGATATCTGATCTATACCATGGCCGATTCCCTTATGGAATTAGCTTCAGATAGCTTGAATTATTCGAGTCAATTTGCTGGTTATAGCATAATTTCCTTTCCTTCTGAAAGATGAGATAATATGAATCGTAGGGCCTCTTCCTGGGCTGCTGCTGTAGTATTATCGTATCAAGATGATCCCCTCAGCTACTTCTGACCGCATTCGTAGAGTTGTAATCAATGCTACCACACAGCATACTATCGAGACTGCTATATGAGTCAAAGAGGAAATGCGAAAGTATGATTTGGACGGAAGGGCTAGTTATACTACCTACCGATCGCGGGGATCCATAACACAACCTTTCGAAGGAGAGACATTAGAAATGATATTCCGTTGCGTAGCGGAGAACTTATCCTAAGGATAAGTAAGCAGCAAAATCTGTCAGGAGGCTGGGCATGCATGAGAAATCTCGCATAGCGTTCTTGACAACAGTGGGCAGCGAAGAGAAGGTGCAATACCTTGTCAATGAGTGCCATATTCCTCGCAACCCCCGAATTCTCGTCAGAGAAAGATTATCTATTATCTGGTGGCCTCGGAGGGTTGGGTCAGGCCATTGCAAGATGGATGGCCGGTAACGGTGCACGATACCTTGTGTTCCTATCACCTAACTCGGGAACTACAGAAGCCCATAAGGGGTTTTTCGAGGAGCTCAGATGTATGGGATGCCAGCCTATTGCGGTGCAAGGAAACGTAGCAAATCCCGATGATGTGAATAGAGCTATTTCCCAAAGCCCTCGAAAAATCGGCGGCGTGATCCAGCTTGCACTGGCATTGAAGGTAAAGCGTCACAGCAGTTCCCTGCCCGTCTATCTCTCTCTTTCTCTCTCAAGCTAACTAAATACCACAGGACTCAGTACTGCACGAAATGTCCTACGAGGACTGGCAATGCCTTCTAGCTCCCAAAGTCCACGGTACATGGAACCTCCACCAAGCACTGGGTAGCACTCCTCTGGAATTTTTCCTCATGTTCGGCTCCAATGCAGGCATATACGGATTACCATCCCAAGCGAACTATGCCGCAGCAAACACATTCCTTGTAGGATTAGCCAAGTATCGACACAGCCTGGGACAACCTGCATCAGTTCTTGACCTGGGACCGATTGCTGAGATTGGCTATGTGAGCCGGCAACCCAAACTGCAGCGAGACTTCGACAACCTGGGCGTACGCTATGTGCGCGAACAGGATCTGCTAAACGTCGTGCATCTTCTCATCAAACACAGCAAAGACCCTGCGCTGCTCCAGAACTTCGCAGTTCAAGATCCACACCATCTTTCCCTGGGAGCAATCTATAGCAACCCCTCCCTCCATGACATGTTTGGTAGCTACTCGACCTTAAAAAATATGGACTCCACAACCAAGACCAAGGATGAAACGTCAGATGAGGAATTAACCGACTTCATCTCCAAGATCCACGCCAGTCCCGCGATGCTCGATCAGCCAGAAGCGGCAGTGTTCATCATTCGAAAGATAGGCACCTCACTCATGCCCATGGACCTCAAACGCGGCGGTGTACCGGACTTGACGAGATAATCGCACATTCCCATTGATTCGCTGGTTGCGATTGAACTCCGGGCCTGGGCCCGCAATCGGTTAAATGTCAAGGTGAAACATATCGAGATATCATCAGTAGAGACAGTGAAGGGCTTCTCGCAGTTGATTATCGATCGTGTGAGGGAGAAACTTAGGGTGCTAGCGGAGTAAACCTGAACTAGCGGATACAGCATGGCATGTCTTTCAACACCGAAAAGAGACAGTGTACGTAGTATAGTCTCGTCTATTCCAATTTAGACGCCACCATTTCAGACTAGCATTCTTTTCAAAAATTCCACATTAAACATTACATTCCTTGTCAAAGCTGTCAAAAGGGTTGCATTTCTCCCATGCAAGCCAAGCTAAGCTACCCATCAATTCCCAGAAGTGTCCCCATTCGCCGCATCCATAGTACGAAAAGCAGCAGAATAATAATCATCAATATCACCTGCTGCATCTTTAAACGGCTCTCGATGAGGCTCCGTCACCTTCGATGCCATATTATCTACAGTGGCCGCATTCTTATCATGAACGTATTGAAGGAGCTTGCGAGCCACGGGCAATGCATTCATGTTGCGAAAGTGAGGGACCTAAAACAACATCAATTTCACAATGTAAGTCACGTCACAATCCTGGTCCTGTGTAGGATATATAAAGAAGAAGAAAAAGTGAAAGGTAGTATTAGTAGGATACACACTTTAGTAGCAAACCGATTAACAAGATCCGAAGCAGCCGTTCGGAACTCGACTGTTCCATTGTATAGGGTAGCGCTATCCTCATCGTCAAATGCTGGAGTGTTTTGCGTATGGGTTTCGAGGTTCTTGGTGAGCTGGTACATCTCATAGGCTGTTTGAAGTAGAGGGAATCCCTTCGAGATGCTACCATCGAAGTTGCTGAGGCGGTTGTTGGTGTTCTGAACCCAGTTTAGGAGATTGTTGTGGTCGGATTGGATGGTGGTGGCATGGGGGCTTGCTTGGGCGGGTATGAGGATGAATAATAAGGTAAATAGGGGGAATAAGTTGAGTGGGAGGTGCATTTTTTTTGTTCCAATGATTGAGATTGGGGTTAGCTTCTTTCTGGAGGAGTTGGAGTTGATATTGAAAGGCGGAATGGGGTGTTGAGATAGTAGTTCAATTGGGATAGTTTGGGGTACGGAGTATAGGGGAGGGGCTGGTTTATATTCTGAGTGCTGCGCATCATTACTATGGTTGACAGGACTTGTTTACATTCGAGTACATGGGCGTTATCCACTTGGTAGGCTACTAGTTGATAGGAATAATGTCCACGGAGTTCAGCTCAGCTATGTTCATCCTGTCATTCGAGGTGCAGTAGAAGTGTGGGGGAAAGGTATGAAGGGGGGTTCGCAATGCGGTAATGGCATAGGGGATTCACTATGCGCCAGGTATGTCAAGTTAGATAATTGCACTGATTGGAGGCCACCGCAAATGTTAGAGAGAGCATCAGTCAATGTCATGTTCTTCTGGTGTCCCGTTGACAGAGCTGAGGGTAGAGATCAAAGTAGAAATTGTTACACTATGTATGGCTTTCATAGCCTTCATGATTGTGCTGTGGGTCCAAAATACAAATATTCAGATACAAAAAGGCGGAAGGTTGTATGATGTGCCTGACAAAGCCTCACTGAAGGGGGTCTTAATTGAGAAGACGGCAACTGGAGAATGATTCCGCGCTCACTTATAAGAGAGCACAAATTCGAGAGGCTGGGGAGTATGCGCCCTGCATGATGTTCATCACTGCTCCGGAGAATTTCGATCGATACCCTCACTGCATCTCTGCTTGCTTTCTCTCTGGTCCGCTTGTTGAACTTAATAGCGAGAGATACCCTGTATGAAGCAATAGACATTGAAGGCTAATTGCGAGCGCGGGGGAGGGTATGTGATTGTGTATGAGACCGGGGCAGATCTGGATGATCAGGTATATAATTATGGGTTAGAACGCCACAGACAGTATATTAGTAGATCAGCATGATGTCTCCTAAGCACAGAAGTAATGTGTTGTTGTGATGGTTTGCTCTCTAAGCAGAACAAAAGAAAGAGAGCCCCTCCGGGTGCAAACCAAACAAACAATCGCCGCCAGACCGTCTCGAAGCTCCGTCGAAAATTCCCAGAACAGCTTCAGGACAGCGTCGTGGCAGTGTCCCCCATTACTACTTTTCTTAATTCTTCCCGGAACTTCAGTGGAAGGATTTTGTCATCATGTCGTTGTCTATGCCTGGTCCCTCCCAGGCTGGTCTCTTCAAGCCTGGGTATCAGAGGTGAGCGAAGCAAATCCCCCCGTGGTGGAATGTCCCGCCCCTCAGGACCCTCGAGCATGGCGGGAGTTTCATATCAGGCACCGCCAATCCATGACAATCCGGCGATGATTCGAATCATTGACTAACATCCTGTTCTTCATAGTCATGATGCCGAAGACGGTGCGGTTATCCGCAACATCGAAGCCTGCCAGGCTATCGCTCAGACCGTGCTCACGTCGCTGGGCCCGTACGGTCGCAACAAGATCGTGATCAACCACCTGCAGAAGATGATCCTCACCTCCGATGCCGCTACGATTCTGCGCGAGTTGGATGTTGTGCACCCCGCTGCCAAGTTGCTCGTGATGGCCAGTCAACAGCAGGATGCGGAGATGGGTGACGGCACCAACATGGTCATCATCCTGGCGGGAGAGTTGCTGAAGAAGGCCGAAGAATTGTTGCGGATGGGTTTGAAGACAAGTGATATCACGCAGGGTTATGAGAAGGCTCAGAACTTCGCTCTTCAGGTGCTGGAAGGTGGGTTGTTCTCGGGTTATGCGTTCTATACTACGTTCAGGGGCTACCGGTCCAATGGCTATCCTGATCGCTTCTCCCGCACTTGCTAACGTATGGATTAATCTCTAGGCCTCGAGGTTGATCGCCTGCAGGATCTTCGCTCTCAGACCGAATTGAGCAAGGCTCTCCGTACCGTCGTCGCCAGCAAGCAGTCCGGAACCGAAGACATCCTGGCCTCCTTGGTTGCCGAGGCCGTCCTCGCCGTCCTGCCCAAGAACCCCGTCAACTTTAACGTCGATAACGTCCGCGTTGTGAAGATCATGGGTGGTAGCTTGGAACAGTCCCGTGTTGTCAAGGGTATGGTCCTTGGACGTGAGCCCGATGGTGTGGTCAAGAAGGCACAGAAGGCCAAGGTCGGTGTCTTCAGCTGCCCCATTGACATCTCTCAGACCGAGACCAAGGGTACTGTGCTCCTGAAGAACGCGCAGGAGATGTTGGACTTCTCGAAGGGTGAGGAGGAGCGTCTGGAGGCGGCCATCAAGGAGCTGTACGACTCCGGCCTTCGTGTCCTTGTTTGCGGTTCCACGATCGGTGATCTCGCCATGCACTACCTGAACCGTTTCAACATTCTGGTCATCAAGATTTTGTCCAAGTTTGAGCTGCGCCGTCTTTGCCGCGTGGTCGGTGCTACTCCTCTCGCTCGTCTGGGTGCTCCTATGCCCGATGAGATGGGTTCTATTGACATTGTCGAGACCACTGAGATTGGCGGAGACCGTGTCACCGTTTTCCGTCAAGAAGACTCCAACGCTGTTACTCGCACATCTACCATCGTCCTGCGCGGTGCCACCCAGAACCACCTGGATGACGTTGAGCGTGCCATTGACGACGGTGTCAACGCCGTCAAGGCCATCACTAAGGACCCCCGTCTGGTTCCTGGCGCCGGTGCTACCGAGATTCAGCTTGTGGAGAAGATCTCTGCATTCGCCGATCGCACCCCCGGATTGCCTCAGCACGCTATCCGCAAGTACGCTGAAGCTTTCGAGGTGATCCCTCGTACTCTGGCGGAGTCCGCTGGCTTGGACGCTACTGAGGTCCTCTCTCGTCTCTACACTGCCCACCACCACACGAGCGCCAACGGCGAATCGTCAGAGGAGTCGGAGGAAGAAGGCAGTTCCGAGGAGGAGCCTTACTGGACTACTGGTGTTGATCTGGATGTGGGACCCTCTTCGACTGGCACTCTTGACACTGTGGATGAAGGTATTCTGGACTTGCTGGCATCTAAGAGCTGGGCCATTAGACTCGCGAGTGAGTCCGCCCGCACAGTCCTCAGTGTCGACCAGATCATCGTTGCTCGACAGGCGGGTGGACCCAAGCCCCCGGGTCCCAACCCCAACTGGGATGAGGACTAAATTTGAGGCGTTGGAGAGCGGTATATTCAATGTGGTCTAAAACTCAAAATGTGATATAGACACGATAATCATGAACGTCAACTAACCCGGCATGTCTGGGAGTGTATAATGCTTTGTGTGGTAGTAGTAGTAGTAATATTGTTCAAGTGGATACTGTGGACCGATTAGGGTAAATCAATTCGATTCTGAATTGGTAGCAGATGATTGTAACAATGTATAGATCTTCAATAACAACGATGATCATAGCGAGTGTATACTTGTATAAGCAGCAGCACTGATAGGCGGGCGGTCAGTCATATCACGTGACGTGACTGGATTTTCCGGGCCGACGCTCGACTTTCTTTTCCCGCAAAGGCCTTCTTCGAGCAATTTGATATCTTGAGCAGCTTCACTTCCTTGGTCACCCTCCCCTCACGGTCCTACGTCTCTCCCTGTTTCCGTTCCGTTCGCCCTCACCTCCCGTCCATCATGTCCGTTTCCGCCCAGGCCGCAGCTCGCTGCTGCAGACAGATCGTCCGCCCTACCGCTTCTCTGCGCCTTGCTCCCACGACATACCTGTCCCAGCGCACACTCAGCCGGAGATGGCAATCCACTGAGGCGGAGGCTGCTGCTGCTCCTGCCAACCCCAAGATCACCCAGATTGTCGACCAGATCAGCCAATTGACCCTGTTGGAGACCGCCGACCTCGTCTCCACCCTGAAGGTGCGTTGTTTTGCTCCCCCGGACCTGTGTCGCAAACTCCGCATCCTGCCCATTTCGGGCTGTATCCCATCCAGCGTGGTGGATTGACACTCATCGAATCGCACTGAGCTCGATACTGACATACACGTTGTCATTCTAGACCCGCCTGAACATCCCCGACCTCCCCGTTGGCGGTTTCGCCATGGGCGCTGCTCCCGCCGCTCCCGCCGCTGCTGAGGAAGAGGAGGCTGCTCCCGCCCAGCAGGAGAAGACCCTGTTCAACCTGAAGCTCGAGTCCGTCGACGCCTCCTCCAAGGCCAAGGTCATCAAGGAGATCAAGACCCTCCTCGGCCTGTCCCTGGTCGACAGCAAGAAGTTCGTCGAGTCCGTTCCCAAGGTCCTGAAGGAGTCTGTGCCCAAGGAGGAGGCCGAGAAGATCGTGGAGACCCTCAAGGCCGTGGGCGCCAAGGCCACTATGGACTAAACTGGGACCTATATACTACTCTCTGCTTTCGGGGACTTTTTTTTTTAATGCTACCGGGTCACCCTAAGCTTTCATCTTTCCACAACCCCTCCTCCGTTCTGAGCGGATGAGCGGAGAGGGGGGAAAGGGAAGAGGGAGAGGCTACCTGTGGATGGTCTGGACGTTGTGATTGGACTGCATCTCATCATGCTGGAGTTTTGTCTCGCACCACCCTTTTTTTCTCTATTCCGTCATGTATTGTCTGTGTGTTTTTATCCTATCTCTTTTCTTTTCTCCGTCATATATCTCTTAAGAATGTTCTGATATAAACCGGAAAGCGGGAAAAAGGCGGCGAGTGTACATTATTATCGCATTGAATGGACAATGTTGAAACAAGCTGGAAGGGGATCTTTTTTTTGGCGTGCAAAGCCCCCACGGGGACGTCATGAGCACTGGTAGATCTGTCGCTTGGACGATCGGTCCTAGGAGAGCTGTCAAACCACCACCTCGCCCATATTTCGTAGCTATAATCTCCTCTTCATACAACCCGAGACTCATCTCTCTGAGCCACATCAAACAACTAAATTGCTACGACAATTGTCATTACCGATTGCAGTAAACCCATGAACCGGCGGGCCAGGAACGAACCATGAGAATTTCCCTGCCGGAGCCACGGCGCGCGCCCGACTTTGAACTCCGCCCAGCGAACTGTACAGTTAACCCAACTTCGCCTTCATTACGTCGTCTTGCACCTTCTATATTGCCATTTGAATTTGTATTTCAGCACCAGTGAGAAGTGCAATGGTGCTTTATTGTGGTTATTGTCGTTTCTACAATTTAGTGTGCTGCTCTGCTACTGTTAGTAATTAGATATCGAGATTGAATGATGTAAACTTCAGTGATTATATATTTGAACTTCTTACTAGCTTTGGTTGAATGTCCAAGCACTACAGGATCTGTATGATCGTACGATTACTACCAATTTCTACAATTTGATAGTAGTATTAGCACTAGTAGACATGGCGTACAAAGAGCGTGGCAACTACTAGTAGTGAAGATAAGTAGAAATCACGTAGTATTACCATGATTACATCGTGTTGCCGATATTTCAATCGAAGTCTAAAACTCTACTAGTACTACCGATTCAGATGATAGCAATCTATAATCCAGAATCCAGCCAACTACAATCACTAGTAGGGGAGAGATGGGACATATGCAACATTTGGACGTCTTTATATATACTAAGACTATGTATCGACCTTTGTATCTCTTTGCAGCAATGACTGGTGACATATATAGTTTCCTGTCTAATCCTTGCATCAACATAAATATCAACTAACAGCCTGCATCTCTTTCACCTGAGTGCCCTATCCAAACTCCATATCTCATCAATATAACCTAGTAACAGTATCATATATAACCTTTCATAGCCATCTTTCTAGAAGCCAGATTCGAGTGAAGATATCATGGAAGAAAAAGAGATCATGATTTGCAAGCGGGCATGGGGAGAGAGAGAGGAAAGAACACTGGAGGGGGGAAGAAAAGAAAAGAAGGGAAAAGAAGCAGTTCAAACCAATCCGTAAGATTCCCGACCAGCGCTGCGTTCACTCATTCATCCGTACCATATCCAATCTCGCTGACATGTCACCTCCGTCGACCTTTGCCTTTCCCCTTTCCCCTGGTCTTGAGTTCGACAAAGCCTAATTCCTTTAGACCCTCTGTGAGACGTGATGAGTCTCGCATTCCGGGAAAGTCTTTGGCAGGGTAGACGCGAAACGGATCGGACCATACTTCAGCAAGGACGGGCATCGATTGGCCCGTGTCCTCAACGAGGCCCCAATTCATAAGCCGGAACTGTAAGCGGTACAGTCCAGCTGTACGTACGGAGAGATCAGAGAATATGAAGAATGCTGCGGGCTGTTGGGCTCCCTTGGAGGTTGATGGAGCAAGTTGAACTCTTCGTTCCGGTAGGTGATAATCAAATGTTGATGGATGATTTGGGGCAGTTGTTGGATCAGGATCTTCATCGACAAAGAAAGGTGAGACAAATGCTTTGCCCGAAAGCAATGGTGTAGATTGGCCGGGAGCAGTTCCGAGACGGTCCTCTCGAAGGGCACTATCACCATCCATGTCGGACGAGATCGATCCTCGCGTTTCGGGAACCAGGAAGCAGCCAACGGTAAAGCGCGGATCTTGGAGGATATCGATATCATCTGATGTGCTGGGGTCAAAGTCCGTTAATAGCAGCTGCAGAATTGGAGGTGGGTCTACAGGGCGGCGGTCTCGGTCTCCGGCACCACACGCCCGGGCTGCGAGGGGCTGTTGTCGAATGAAGAGGTGATAGCGTGATGTCGTGGAGGTTCTTCGTGGCGGCGGTGATGGAGTTGGAGAATGGTGAAGTAACCTTTCAAACCCAGAAGGCATGCTGGACGTGGTGTGTCGCTGATGCTGTTGTGCCTGGGGCTTTATGGGTGGTGCGAGCGCAGGATACATTGCCGAGCTCTCCTCTGAGTGAACGGGGCTTGGAAAGGTCGCCGAGCTGCTGCTGTACCTGTATAAATCCTATTAGCACAATAGTTCTCAAGGGAGTTACGAAACACCACGGCTCGAGGCGAAATAGCGGGAGTATGCAAATTTGACCACGATGATGGTATCATAACTCCAGGCAGATAAGACTAGGGCCTTTTTCTGAAGAAAGAAAGGGGTTTATACTGAGACTCCACATCATTTGTCCGCGTCCCGGAAATAGAACCAATAGAACCGCGACTGTAACTGGGGGAATCCTGATAAGGGCTAGAGACAGAGGCTGAAGCAGAGGCATACTCCGCGCCTCTCATGGCATTTGACCTTTGGGCCCCATACTGAGGATAGGCACTATGATTGGCAACCGGTATTGGCGAAGGGTTAAATTTGGGGTCTGCGAAGCTGTCCCAAGTTCTGCCGTGATAAGGAGCCCTGGAGTTTGATGCGGGATGCATATAAGTCGGAGCGTAGCCCTGATTGTCAGGATAGAGGAAGCGTGGGGGATCTTCCAGAGTGTGGAATCGATTTGGCATCGTCAACATCTGGTGATCGTCACCAGCGGCGTAGGATCTTGCATCCGACGGTTGACCACTGGATGCGGGATACATCCATTGCGGTAGCGGGGTTCGAGACATCTATGCAATTTGTGCGGACGTTTGGGGGTCCGTACAATTTTTTCTTTCTTCTAGGACTTGCACTCGCTGTAAAGTGCCAAAAGCTGATCTCCCGTTGTGTTCGCGGGCTAGGCATCCACAATAGGGAACGCCAAAATGGTCAAGCAAGGTTTGGTCAACTTAGAAGAAAAGGTGGAATGAGGCCCGATATGGGAAGAACAATCGACAGGGGTCAGAAGCCCGCTGGGACAAATTGGCCATGTACTACGTAACGGTATACCCAGCGCCAAATATTTTCCAGAGTTCACAGGTTAACTGTGTGCGGTAGGTTTTAAGATGCTTCCTTTAAGGCCAAAGGTGCAAATAACATGACCTGACGTGGGCGGTTGTTCCAACCTACCGAAGTAGCTGGCTGAGGTGATATGCATATGTTAGCTCTCTTTGATGATTCTCAAAGGCAGACCACAAAGCAATTGTCTGAGGAGGGTCCCGAAGCACGGAAAAAGGTAGTCAAGACGAAGGAGGAAAAAGAAAAGGGGACTGCCCACCTCTGCCCAACCAGATCGTAGCACGACTCACACCGGCGCGCAAGTAGCGGCAAGGCAAGCAACTGGAGTAGTGACCCTGTAGAAACGTGAAGTAAGCGTGTCTGATGACCACCCCAGATGGAGGAAGAATGGCCAGGAGCGTGGTACTAACCCTAAGCCAAGCAGTAAAATACCAAGTGTTTATTGGCACTCTATAGTTGCCTGTGGCCGTGCAAGAAAAGAAATGGATCTGGGGAAACGGGTTGGTCGATGCTTTTGTGAGAGCCTGTGCGTGCCCACTGCGTACGTGTGTGGCATTGTGAAAAATTCAGACATGCAGCAACACTGCGTCCCTGACAGGATCCGGCCGTGTATATCCCCGAATCTTAGAAATCTTTACTCCAGCATGAGTTTCTCCGATATCCCAATTTCCCCGTATTTAACAAAAGAAGCGTAGGTTTTGCTAGTGCCCAGTGTGTTGGTCTGTACACTGTCCGGAACTTTGCGCGACCATCGCAATTACTAGTAAGGTTCCAGTAGACGAGCCACTTCTGTTATGGGTCCCTTTGGGTTCTGCAGACGACGCAGTATGACGGCCCTGCGAAAAATCATTGGCCAAAGCAATAAAAGACTGACCCTGGTATGCCGTGGGCATCTCGTATTCGTCGAAGTGGTAAGCAGTATCTTAAGGAGGGACTATCTTCCTTGCGATGGCCAATAACGGAATAGGATCCCGTATATGCAACGAATCGCTTGCTAAGTGCCTAGTAAAAGGCGTGAACTGTGTTTACCAAGGCGCCCAACTATTACCCACTTCCCGGGGAACTAGGGCGATCTGCTGCCGAAGGATTTAATTTTTTAATGCGCGATGATCTGGAAGCCCAGCAGGCACCATCGGGTGAGATGTTCGACTCCGTGAGCCAGGTTCCAACGAGTGAGCAGCGACAAGCCAGGAAAGAACAGGGAATAAAAGCGCAGATCGAGTATAATCGACCAGTTGATTGGCAAGAATATAATTCCATGTACGCCGTAAGCCGTGCAGTTCAGATTGCTGGGATCGCTATCCGTGGTCGCTATCATCGTTAGATACTCTGCAGCCCGTCCACGCAATGCAACTAGATGGGCCTCCAGCAGCTGATCGGTGCAAGGAATAAATGGTCTATACTGATGATTTGCGAGCCTCGGCGTTCCCGGCACAGACCTGTCCTGCAGCTCGGAAAGGAAGTAGGAAAAAGGAAGATGGTGCTGCAAGATTCGTAGAGAAACGGCTAGAAGACTGTATAGTGGAGTCCAGATCTGGACGCTCACCGTTGTTTTTCAACTATCGACCATATACAGAGCACTATTCCTGGAAGGGTGTGGTGATAGATGTCGCCCATGAACCCCCGGGACAATTATTGAGCTTGGTCCAAGGGCCATTGACCGCAAAAGCCGGACACGGCCGTCGGGGATCTTTCCGTACGCTAGGCGAATACGGCTGTTCAGCTGCTTAGTGTCGGGACTGCGAACTCCATCCGACAATGTTCAGGTTACTTTTGCGCCCACGTCTTTAGCATGAAACCAGGGCCCTGCATACTGAGCTTGTTGCATGCCTAAGCCAGGAGCACCTTTAACAGAGCAAACAAGGACGAATATGGAGTATGGTGGTGGGCGTGTCCAGCCCCCGTTCTCCCAGGCCCGCGAGTATTGCCGATTTGTCATTGCTGGTCGTGGATACCGGGGTCTTTTGCACGGGCCGTTTCGAATCTAAGACTATTTTATAGTGAGCTTTTCTCCGCAACAACCATCGAATTCGCTGATCATTACTGGTCCAGAAGGACACCGGACCACAAATGATAAAACAAGCGGGCCAATTGGTCAGATAATTTGCAATAACGGAACTACACAGGAGGAAAGAAGAAGGGAGGTGAGCTGGCTTACTTCTGGTGGGGACCTCAAAAACCACTTCCAATTCTGATCTCAGTGAAGCCCGAGAACCCCGTTGGGTGCGCTCCGGATTTCCTGTAGTGAGATCCTGGGACATACTCATTCACACATTGTGGCTAAGGTACAAGGTATGATGCCTATCCTTGCAATGGAAATGGAAGATCGATCGGTGGTCACCGCCACATATCACGCTGGATGTTTCATCTCAGCTGATTTGTGTTATCGTAACCCCCTCTGGTGCTGCGGGGAAGAAATCCTAGTCGGCGACAGAAGTACTTTTCGTGCATTAGCCCTGTAACAACTGTTCACCATTCCCTCTTGGGTGGACGGGCTACTGTATGTGTGGTTGCCTTGCCGACAACCATGAATGATGTGTCACATCCTTGACTGTTGGATGACTTGATCAATGGCCAGAGTTGGCTGGATGCTGATGAGTCAACAACCACCGTCAGACAGATGGAACTATTACCGAGTACCGACACGCCTATGCAGCATTCTATTTCCCGGAATCCGGGTGTGCCTCATGCACACTAAGGGTATCCAGTGTCCACACCTCTCTGTGTTCCTACCCAGGCAGTCATGGGTCTGGCCTTTTGGAATCCCGGAAGCTGCAATTGCAGTGCAGTGGCTAGTGTGTAGATTGGGTGCTACGGCGATGATCCTGTTCGTGCGTCATGACCGTCCACAGGTAGTGCATAATCGTGAGCTTCTTGCTTATTCCCAAGAGTTTCCTCCGGGGGAGAATTTCCTCCACTTTGCTTTTTTTTTCCTTTTCATCGCCGATATGGATATTCTCTTAGTTGGAACAAATGGAGACATGGACCGGACGCTGAGGTCGGATGCCAATTAACGCTGCGCGTTGCCAGCCACACTCCATTTGCCTGTAGAAGGCAACTAGGACGGAGAACCCGTGTAAGAAGCGAGCCACGGAGATACTCCTTGAGTAAACTATCGCCAGAGGCAACCAAACGAAAAAGATTTGTCAGGAACCGAAGGTATTATTCGACCAGCAGTCTGCACGCATGCGGTTCATTTCAAAGGAAGGCTGGAAATGAGTGAGTGACTTACGGGGAAAGAAGGCGTTTCTCCGATTGGGCCCTGGGAAAAGTCCGTGGGAATCGGAGATCTCCAGTTTGCAAGAGAGCGGAGGAGTTGCTGCGATCTCGTCGACCTGTCGATTGCCGCATTACGAAAAGGAAGGGGGGATCAAGTGACTTGGCCCAACGTTCGCCTTCCGCCGCCGTATAGCAGCAACTGCTCCCGGCAACCCAACCGCAATATTCTCCTCCAGCCAGCTCAAGCTTCCCTTCACCATTCCCACGCATCTTAATTAGCCACCCGCCAATCCTACTAAAAGCCGTTTTATATGGAATGGTACTTTTATCTACGGATATGACAAATCATGATACATGAAGAGGAAATAACACCAGGCAAGTTGATACCAATAGAGTGTGGGAATGCGGCCACTAAATTATAGACAAACCTTACCTATAGACATACTACCTAACCTAACTAACAAGTATTTGCCCTCCGGTCTCACCGGATGATTTGAGTGCCCAAGGTTCTGGCCGAAGTACGGGCCGCCCGCCTCGCGTCGAGACAGCCTTTGGGCTCTACACGCCAGCGACACTTTGGGTTCTGAAAATCTCCCTGGACAGCTCATGCAAGAATGCCCTTGTTATGGACCACAGCATACAATCTGGAAGATCAAGAATATGGATCGATGCTCTATGTCTTCGTTGGGGCCGTTTCTTGGAGAAAAAGCAAAAGAGCACACCGAATCCTGGACGCATCAGCTCCCCTGCTAGGGCGACGTGGAAGCCTCGATCGCGAACTAATGGCGCAACCCTGCAAGAAAAGAAGATCTTCGAAATCTTACGGGTCGATGGATTATTGACCTTCCTATTTAGTCTAATAATCTGCGTCGACAAAGGGCTACTGCGAGCAAGGGAGCCAGGATACCCTGACTCTCAAAGCTGACAAGCTTGCCTTGGCTTTCAGTCGTCCGCACTGACCTTGCACCTGAACATAGGATATCCTGGCTGTCTCTTCGTTTTGTCTTGCGGTACCCTGCGTGTGCTCTTAGCGCGGGCCACAGCAACTTGCACACCTGAAACTACTCCGAACAGAAAGGATAATCCTTGTCTAGGAGGCGTTTGTATTGTACGTACGCTTTGAATCAAATTGGCAATCCGTACATACACGGAAGATGTCTTCATATAATTGATGGTCTCAGCATAATACCCAAACCTAACCACAAAAGGTGAGTCAACCGCTACCAATACACTTACAACCTTAAGCATGTTATGTGGGATGTAGACGTGACAGCCAGAGACCGCTAGAAATCCTGTTGCATTGATAGGGCACTAGAGATGGTAGCAATCCTACCAGAGACTCTTTGGAATCAGTGACCAGATTGTGCTGCAGGCTACCCAAACGGTGAAGAGTAAACTTATGTTGTGCGAGAAGCATATCAGCAATCGTATTCTACCAGCCTGCTTCGTGTCTTGAGGGTTTGCTCACCTAAACCGTCATTATGGTGACACGGAAAACTGACGTAATATGAGACAGGAAGTTGCAAGGGGCTTCAGCTCACCTGCCAGATAATGTTATCTGACATTGAGCAGGCGGTAGAGCACACGATCAAACCATGGGACCATGTCTCGCCCATTGTCCACTTGAAAAGGATTGACGTGGCTTACTTAACATGAAGCCGTGCTCTCGGACTTGGCCGACAGCATGGTTCTTTGCTGGAAAGTGCATCATGTTCGGGCTCTCCGTTGGAACAGTATGTAAACTTAGCAGATGCTAGTTGCATTGCATAGTCTCTGCCACTGAGGTTGAGAGATTGTGGTCATGCGAGATGAGGACTGCTAAGGATGATGCTGGCTTCCCCAGATTTTTAGCTGGTTGAGCATAACCTTTTGCTATATTAGGAAGAGAGTGTATCACGAATCGCTGTGGCTATGCTGAACATGCCTGCCAAGCTGCATACATAGACTATGCAATAGATGCTATTAGCATGCAAGTTTGATAGCTACTTCCCATAGCAAAATATAGCATTAGCTTCCGAGCGTAGGGGGAAATAAGGCCCTAATGCGGACACACTTTGCAAGATGCAATATCCGACAGAGCTAATATGAGCTTCTTCCATGAAAGTCTTCGATGGTAATTGCCGGAAAAGCATCGTATCAGAAAGAGGCTATCTGTGCTGAGCAAGTACTTCGAGCTCAATGCTTATGTACACCAGTGACCAAAAAGAGAAGCAATCATAGCATGAGGTCCGGACTTGGATCTTCCTCGATGTAATAATGCATAGACGCATTTCCAATAAAAGATATCAGATCACCCTGAGAAGTTGCCGCCGTTTCACCATGAAGAGAGACTGTGGTGATCGCCTCAATACCAGATCGCGCTCGTGCAGCTCGTGACTCTATGCGACTCTCAATAGGCCCGTCGCTTGGTCCAACGTATACAGCGATGAGCTGGCCATAGACACGATCCCACGCAATCATATGCTCGGTCTCTTCCCAAGGATTATCATAGCTTGGATCCTGATCATGTGAACATCTGGCTCTCCTTGCCAAACGACCAAGCTGCATCACATGAATGGAACGTTCGAGAGGGGATCCACTCCTATCGCAGCTGACACGGACTAAACCTAGCGTTGAAGGTGTCCAAGACTCAGTGCCCTCTTTTCCAGCAGACGGAGAGGCCCCCAAACACTGAACTGGAGAATACTGGGGAAACCAGGCATACTCCTCATTCTGGCCTTCAGTTGATGGCAAAGATACAGGGATAATGTCTCCCTCGTGTTCTTCGAGCAGTTCTGCAATCTTCCCGAGATCTGTTGCTGACCTGGAGCATCCGGAGGCGTTGATTTCGGTAATTAATCGTGCAACGCTCTCATAGCCTGTGCTGTCACCATCGATATTGAAGAGAGGTATATCAGATATTATCGAGTGCGGATCACTTATATTCGTGTGAAAGGGGCCATCAGAATCCCAACTAAGACCCAGCTTGTGCTCGATCTGTATTAGTTGGGTCTCAAGAAGCTTCAAGTACTCTTTCTCACCTGCCATCCGAGGCAATAGGGGACCAATAACTTCTGACTCAAGCAGTGTGTTGACATCTTTGAACTCGGAAATACCAGGAAGCATTCCCTGGGAGTGTTTCGACACTTCCTGCAAGTAATCCATAGCTTGGACAACATCACCACTTTCCGTCAGAGTCAATATACAAGAGTACATGCATTGGTACATTTCAGGGGAAGCGCTTGGCGAAAGTCTCCACATCGCTTGCCTCCATACTTCAGACAGAAGGTCTTTGCTCCGCAGTTTCGCGAGTAAGCAAAGGTAATGCCCCCGATGCATGGCTGGGCCGGCAGAATCGCCCCAGGACAACAGATCGTGAAGGGTTTTCTTCCTTTGTTGTTTACCTCCCTCGATCAACTCCAGTATCGCGTTCGTATTAATAGTAACCTCACGGAACCTCTGATAGTGAAGGGCATTGAGGAGCGCATTCACTAGAGACTTACTTGCGAGGCTGTCCATGGGCCACAGGCCAACGGAAAGGTACCCGTCCAAAAACCTTTCAAGAGCCGGCGCAGACAATGAAAGTGCAGCATAGTACATCCCCAGAAAGTATAGATTACTCGTACGCGGTAGTCCCAGCCTCTCCAGTCTTGTGATGATAGCATTGAGCGCCGAGAGAATCTCGCCGTAGGAATTCTTTCGCTGGCAACGATTCAACGCTTGCGCTAAAAGGGCGCAGGATTGTGTCTGTAAAAGTAGACTGCCTTCTACTTCATTGATAGTTCTTTCAATGAGTACCTGCAAGTGACGCAGGTTTCGGACGTCATGTTTCAGGGCTTTGAACAACGCGATTTCATCGGGGTTTTGTGGCTGTCGACCAGAAGAACTCCAAAAAGGTGGTGGTAGAGATACCAAAGGCCAATCACCGAGAAATATGTCCGAGAGGTGTTTGTCAAGCTCCGGATTGGAGACGTCATTGTGGGAAGGTTTCGTGGTACCTGTCAGAGCGAACCTGACCAGGTGGGACGGAGTGGGCTCGGTATATGAAGCTCTCGAGTTGACGTCGATGGAGACATGGCGGCACAGCGATGGTGATATATAGAACGACCTCAATGCCCGCCGCCGTGATAGCACACACAAATGAGAGTATAGTGACATAGATTTCGACTACTTCTAGACATCAAGGACACAGACAAATGACACAGTGGAGGCGGTATTCAATGGCATACCAGTGATAATCCGGGGTTGGGAAAGTGGAGATGGCAGCGGGTCGATAAAGCATAATAACACCCGGCAATCCACCAGGGGCAAGGCGGTCAGCATGGCGGTGGACCATGGCGTAACTGCAACTCCGATCCGGAATCGAGGCTTCAGTCCTTCAGTCAGAAACCGACCATCGTTTGCTTCTCACCTCAACACTATACTCGAGGTTTCTAACACCCGACTTTTTTTTTTTTAACGAATTTACCTCAGAAGGGATTCCTTGGAGCCTTACACATTCCTTTCCATTTGCAGCATGCCCGCCGAGCAGTCTGCGGCCAGCCCTTCTGGCGCCAAGGAAATGCCCAAGCAATCCGCAGAGAATGACCAAGCCGGCGATGATCGCAAGGAACCTACATCACCTTCAAAAGAGAAGACACAGGGAGAATCAGGAGGAGAGGCTAGCGTAAATGACGCTAGTACGGACAAAATAGACGATGATGCTGCCTCAAGAGCCCGCCAAAGACAAGAAAGATTCAAGGCTCTCCAAGCTCGCGCAGTAAGTTCATGGTAGCGAAGGGCCACTGTACGCTATGTTCGTACTGACATCATTTTAGAAAACTGCTACTGAGCGGAATCTGAAAGAAACGGCTGCCGAAACACAGCGTCTCGCAACCGATCCGTCGCTGCTTTCTTCGCTCTCTCGCAAACATGCTTTCGCATCGCACAACCTTCTCAAGGCTGACACCGAAGCCGCTGGCGAGGATTTTGAACGTAAGCGTGCATGGGACTGGACCGTCGATGAGTCCGAAAAATGGGATAAGCGCATGGAAAAGAAGCAGCGTCATCGGGACAATGTCGCATTCCAGGACTACACCCAAGACGCGAAGAAAGTGTACAAGAGACAGCTGCGGGAAGTACAGCCTGACCTCGAAACGTACGAGAGGGAGAAGATGGCGGCGATCGAAAAAGCTGCTGCCAATGGCGATCTCGAGATCGTCGAGACCAACGACGGTGAAATGATTGCCGTCGATAAGAACGGCTCTTTCTACTCCACGGCTGACAGTGTTGGCTTTACGGAGAACAAGCCCGACCGAGCTGCTGTTGACAAGCTCGTGGATAACCTTCGGAAAGCTGAGGAAGTCCGACTTAAGAAGCGGAGGGACCGCCGCGGAGACGACGACGGCGACGTCACTTACATCAACGAAAAGAACAAGCAGTTCAACCAGAAATTGTCGAGATTCTATAACAAAGTACGTTCTTACTTTGTGAAGCGTCAAAAGCCCTAGCTAATGTCTTCCAGTACACTACGGAAATTCGCGACAGCTTCGAGCGTGGTACGATGATCTGATTTACGCCAAGGAGATCTGAATCTGCAGGACAGTTCAAACGTACAGTCGCCTTGCAAAAAGACCTGCATGACAGCAACTTGATGTGTGCGCTTCGTCAATTTTCATTTCTCTGCACCTCGTTCCGGACTATACTGGACAAATGCAAAGAAGGTCGCCGACGGACCTCCCCTTGCAGGGTCCGCCACCCTGCTTGACGAAGTTGACATCCAGTTATAGCACATACGAGCCGCACCTATCTCAGTCACACCATCATCTTGACCGAGATACCAAGTCACCTGACGGCTCTAATGACGGGTGGTCCCTTGAAACACGAATTAGGCATGTTTGGTTATAGCCTCATTTATGATACATGATGTAGTGTACACTATGGCAGCTTCCAGAGAGATTCCCTGGACAGCTCGAGATGGCCTGGTCACAAAGCCACTTTGCTGATGCCGTTATCTCAGAGCGAAATCAGATGATGACGTGCGCTCGGCCGGGAATTTGTCATAAATTCACAGGCCTTCCATGGGCCTGGTCGGTAGATAGGTCTTCGCCTTGCTCACCTTGGAAATACTCTCACTCCAGGCGCCAAGCAGCCAGTCTGACATGTTAGTTTGGCAATCAATTTCCTGTCCTTGTGCTCCTCCCTCATAGCATGCTCTTCCTCCACGCTTTCGTAGCTAGCGCTTCTATCTTCTCTACTCCCAAGGCACCTCGGACAGATTCGTCATCCAGGGCTTCCATTACAGCCTCACCCACAGTATCCACCTGGAAGGGTTTCGTGACCATAGAGCCCAGGAAGTCCAGTCTGTTTCCCAAAAGCGCATTGACCTGGGAACCGACGAAGCCACCAAGAGCAATGGGGAGTGTAAACTTCCTGCTTTCATCGTACATAAACGGGGCTCGCACAAAGACACTCCGCAGCTCCGGTAACTTCGCCGCGATGATAGATTCCGCCTCTCTCTTCGTTGTGATATATCGACTGGGGAGAACCGGCGCGCCTGAAGCAGCAGAGATGTAGAGAAAAGTCGGGACATGTTCGTTAAGGGTTTCTTGCGCCAATGCGACCGCTGAAATGAAGGTTTATCCAGATGTTAGCAATCTATCCATTCCAGCATTGACCCGCGACCGCACGTACCAGAATCGCGATTCATAAGCTCATATGTAAACTGCCCATTGCGCTCTTTTACTTGAAGAGGTTCTCCTTCCCGCCTTTGCAACGGATCCTGACTGCCTGGTTTTGACGCCGCAAATGCCTTTTGCAATCCGCTAAGGATTGGTTCTCGTCCTTGCACCACCCCTTTGTAGTCCGCCTCGAGGAGGATTCCCATACTATGGACGACGGCGTTCGCACCATTCAAAAAGGGTTTGTAGGTTTCCGGCTTGAGCATATCGGCCTTAGCCCATTCGACTGAGCTGGCCCAGCTTGGACGATTGAGAGAACCAGTGACGGTATCCCATCGCGGTTCTCCGGAGCGACTAATACCAGTGTATGATTTAGATGAGTTCTATAAGATATCAAGATCAATAGCGATCGTACCTGAGCGACGTAACCTCCCATCCTCTAGCGACAGCCGATTTGCAAATCCTCGAACCTGTACGGGAAATAAGTTGTTAGCATTGATTGCTCCATCGTCCGGCTGGTAGGTACATAGACTGCATGCACCACATACCCAAGAAGCCGTTTCCGCCGGCGACAACCACCCTCTTTGCTGCCATTGTTGGGTAGAATCAATTAAGCTCGAATCAAGCGTATTTGATTTTGTGAGAATTAAGGTACTGAAGTCAACGAAACATTTTCATGAATTCCAAATCGCCGGAGCTCGAACCCGGAGGAAGCAACGACCACCCGCCGCAGCTCAGCTTCCGCCGGATTCCTTATCGTATCACCCGCATCCGTCACGTGCAACTGCAGAGATTCCGCGGCCTGGATCGCGACCAGAGCAACACTGGAACTGCACACTCCCCTCTTAACTATCGATATATTCTTTTCTCGCCCGGTATCTGCATACGTCCTGCTCATCTCAAATTGATTATATTGTCAGCCTTGCAGCATGCCATCAGCGACAGGAACCAAGCGCGTCAGAGTGAGTCCATCCCTCCCAGATCATACAAGAACCAGGCCGACCGACTAACCTATCACAACTATACAGGGCGTCTCTGTCTTCCGGCCATTCGGTATGCCTCTACTTTCCATTGTCTTTTCGATTCCCAAGTCAAGTCCATCCTAACAAGCCATAACAGTCTTTGGCAGTGAAGCCCAACCCTTCGACCCAGCCAAGAAACCTCCCCACGTCCCAGCAGACCACACGCACCAGTGGCGCGTATTCGTGAAAGGCGTCAACGACGAAGACATTTCCTACTGGCTAAAGAAAGTACAATTCAAGCTCCACGAGACATATGCCCAGAACGTGCGAACGATCGAACAGGCCCCCTTCGAAGTGACCGAGACCGGATGGGGTGAATTCGAGATTCAGATCAAGCTATACTTTGTTCCGGAGTCAACCGAGAAGCCGCAAACCCTATGGCATAGCTTGAAGTTGCATCCATACGGACCAGACGCGGAAGCGAAGAAAGAGCGCCGCGAGCTGGTGGTCAGCCAGAACTACGAGGAGGTGGTGTTCAATGAGCCCGTGGAGCAGTTTTATGAGCTTTTGACGGGTGGCGCGGGGGCGACAGGGCAACCGCAGAAGGGAAAGGGTGGCAAGAATACCAAGCAGTCGCAGCAGCAGCAGAAGGGGGTAAGGACGGCTGAGATTCCGGCGAACTCGTCCGCGGAGAATCCGTACAGTCGGACTACGGAGAGTAGTGAGATGGATCGCTTGGGGGAGGCGAATAAGACGGTTGAACGGATGATCAAAGAGGAAAGGGAACGGTTGATTGAGCGGGAGAAGAAGTTGGCGGAGTTGCGTGCGAGTGAGGGCGTTCCGGCTACTACAAAGAAGCGTTAAGTGTTGAGAAGATTGGGATGTGGATGTTTGGATAACACGTTCTGAGACGTGCTCTACTCGCGTGTTGATACGCTTCGGTTGCCCAGCTGGCGTCGTTATTGTCCGGCGATATTGGGTTCTCCTTGCTGGCATTGATAAACCAGGGTTCCCCGAAGTACTCCCTTCTTAGGGTGGGATAAGGCGCATCATCACTAGCCTACGGGGACCCCGAAGGGCTCATGACCCTTGTATGCTGAGCCTTCGCTGCAGTGCTACTTCCAGGTTTATCACCTTGCTGGCAGACTCGCAGGACATACATCTGCACGACTTGGTAGCCTACAGTGAACAATTGGGGTTCAATACTATCATGATACAGGTTAACGCAGATAGTCAAAATTGAGGGCTACACATGCATTTTGGATGCGAATATTATCATGCTCTTGAATTTTCACGTGCTGGCTCACGTTCATGGCCTCCGGCTACTAAGCTCATTATGTACTTTCACTGCCAATGAGCCACGGCTGTCCGCATGGTCTGGTTTTCCTTGACCCGCCCAGCAACTATCCCCTAACATTAAGAACGTAGAGGCATGTTGAGACCAACCAATCCTTCATATAACAGATGTTCGGCTTCTGGTAGATCCAGCAAAGATCGCTTTTCCGTTTCATAACAGGTATTAGAAGCGACAGTCAACCCTGTTTCTCATTCGAGCCACGCTCGGCAAGATCCATAATAAAATGATGATACGATGCATCAGCTTACAAGAAAACCATAAATCTCTTGTTGAACAGCGATAGGCCTAGTCGAGGTGAGCGTAGCTGCGGGGACACTTCACGTAGTCAAGTCCGAGGAGGGCGAAATGGAGGCTTGGAAGGCGTATTCGAGGGCAAGCTCGAGTCCGTAGCAATAGCCGTGAGCAGTGCCAGGCAGGATAGCGTTTAGTGTTGCAAAGTCTGCTTAATGTGCATCGCAGCGACACCCAGAGTAGTAGTAGCGCGGTCCATAATACTGCAGCGAATAGGGTAGTAGGGCTTCTCAAGCAAGGTTCAGAGGTCCTCGGGAGATTGCACGTTCGCAGGTAATCAGCCTCTGGTTGGGCATCACATTGAGGAAAATCATGTGAAGTCAAGATCAGGCATAGGACCTAGAAGCAGCGGCTCGCTGCAGGTTGGGTCAATGTACGCGGATAGCAGCCCCGGCGAGAATATGCCTTGTGCGTCAGTCTCCACAGGCCTGGATGTGTCATTGCTGCTAACAACAGAGAGCCAAGCATTATTTTCAGGTGGATAGCTGGGACCATTTCTTGAGGCTAGAGGCACAGCGTTGCTGGTTTGTGGATATCGAGACTCAATCCAGGCCGTAAATGTTTCCGCTGCAACGCTCCGGAGGAAGTAGTGAGCTCGATTCGCGATGGGCCACTTCTGTTTCAATGTCTTCAGACAGCCTAGAACCAAAATTATTCGGTTGCAGTGATGATCCGAACATTCTGAGGAATGGATACGACTTGTGGCAAGCTGGACCATTCCACAGAGTACTAAGCTGAACACGACAAATGGACTGTATTTCTGCACGCTGGGGCGGACTGAGAGAAGATTGGAGAGTTGCTTGGATGCCTCCGTGGCTTTAATATCATGAACATGTCGGGTGAAGGATGGCGAAAGCCGAGATGGAATCACTGGGCAAATAGGACATTCTGTTTCTGGACAGACGGGCCGAAGACTGCTTCTTGGAAGATGCAGGAGCATTGCAGCAAAGTGGATAGTAGTGTGTGCCTGGAACAGTATTTCATCAACGCTGCCGTACGTATCCACGATATCGACTTTGTTTGGTGGAAGGTGATTCGTCCAGCTGACAAGTGCATTTTCCACAGCTTGCAAGTGATCCCTATGTGTTTCTGGCAGGCTATTCAGGACTAATACCCGTGCCAGGATGCATACCGCTTCGATGCGGTAGCTGAAGGATGAGTAGCTTGTTTCTTCATCAGCAAAGATGCGTTTATTGAACCCAGCAAGAGTGGGAGGCGATGGTATATTGGTGAAATTGGCATATACGGACTCCTCGCAAGGCAAAGCAACGTCGTAAGGAACACCGCTGCATCGCAAGACCACTCTCTTCTGCAAAGCTGCCATGTAGACATCGACGATAAAAAGCTCCCACCAAGTCCGGCGCAGACTTTCAGCTTCCACGGCATTAGAAGACGTGGACGCAAACTCTTGTCGGTACATTCCAAGTTCCAACGCAATGTCGACAGATTGCGAAAAGGATGTGTGAGCTTGCGAGCACTCGCCGCGAGCGCATGAAAGTATCGAATAAAGCAAAAGTGCCTGAACCTTGCATGGCGTCCTTTCTCCATCAGCGCTCAGTTGCAGACTGGCCATATCAGGAAGGGAGCCAGTAGATAAGAAATGGCCACCTATGAGTGTGACTACTTCATGCAAGTACGCTGGGTACTTGCGTTCTTCATACAAGGGCGCGGGAACCAGGATTGGATGCGCTGAGTGAAAGTTCTCATAATACAGGCGGACTAGCCGAGCATCCGAATCTGCAGCGTCTTGAGCTTGGCCTTCCACGACTGGGCTGATGCGCTGGTTCTGCTGACCAGAAACCGTCGAAGAAGCATCACGCCCACTCATATCGGTAGGGTGAGGTGACAAGAGCAGGTCCGCGGAAGATGCATCGTGATGCTGCCGAAGTGCTTCACGGGTTTTCCGTCTCCCTCCACGTCTAGAAGGAAGATAGTTACACTTTAGTCGGTTCTGTAAGCAGCGAGAGCAGGTGGGGGTTTGGGCGTCGCATTTCAGATGCTGCTTGCGACATTCCGTACAGGCCAGCGGTGACGGACGAGTCATGTTCAGTACTCTGGTTGGAAGCTCTCATTCATGCTGACATATGCCCAAAGAGTATAAGTAGTGGTAGCATATTATTAAGACAAACAAACGACTGTTCCGGGGGAGATGAGACAGGAGAATCCAGCTGGCGTCGAAGCAGATACAGTCATGGAGATGCACACTTTACGGTCCATGCCTACTCGGGCAAATGCAGACTCATAAGCTCACATGACTAATCAATTTTATGCATAATAGGTATGAAGAAGTAAGTGAATATCGCCACTGCAGTACCTCGTAAAGTCAATGAATTCTATTTTATCTCTTTATGATATACTTTATCGTTGAGTGAGACCATCTTTATGCAATATCAGTCGATTCATGTGTTTTACACTGTGTGGAAAAATATCTTTACTATCCAATCTGCATCAACTGCCTCGAAGAGTGGCAGTCCTTCTGAAAAGATATTGAACTGGGTATTACTATGCACGGCTTATTCGCCTCAGACTGATCCAGATCGCTGTGATACAAATATGCCAACAGTAACAGTCTCTGGGATCTCAAATTCCAGGTCCGCCAAATCCCAGTCTAAATGCATACAGGTTAATCAACGCTAGTCATGAATCATAGCGAGTGTCCTGCACTCGTCTGTCCTTGTCCAAATTCCCTTCTACTCGATTAAGATGCCTGATAAACATGGCTGCTCCGTCCAGTGTCGCGATCATAGATGTTGTACCCAAAGTCCGCAGCGTTAGGCGGCGTATACACTGCAGACGAGTCAGATAATCAAAACTTCCCGCAAAATCGAGGCCAACTCACAGTGCAAAGAAACAGCAACTTGACCTTTCTGTGGGTTCATGACCCTATGCAGTCCGATCTGGTCACAGATATACGCAACTTCGTCGGTCTTGTACGTTGTCTCTTGCTTGACCGTCAAAGGGGCATCATGGCCCCGTTCGGGGTCTGGCGTGTCGTATATCACTTCATTCAGTTCTCCCCCAAGGATCTTCATGATGCAGTGCGCATCGGCGTGATCATGGATGGGCGAGCCTTTTTGAGGGTTCCAGACCAGAACCAACTGTTGGCGTGTTAGTCGTCAGGGATCATAACAATCTTCTAAATTCAAGTCTAACCAGGTTGGCACGGCCATTGATATCCTCCACCAAGTTGCGAGTATAGTTCTTGCTCACGTCGTTGCGTGCGAACCGTGACCAGTCTTTAGAGTTGGAAGCGTACTTGGACATGAAAGCAATCAGAACCTTGTGGTCAACATTTTCACCATCAATGCCACGAGAGCTACCCAGGTAGCTTCTCAGATCATGTACAAGCTGCTCAAACGTATAGTTGTCCTCTTCGACCAATAACGGAGCCGAGTCCTTGTTCAGGTGGGAGGTAGTATAGCTGGCAGTAGAGCCAGGGAAAGTTGCAAGCATTGTAGAAGCCATTATTGTCATCAAGATGTTTAAGTGGAATGTTGAAAGTTTGGTACCTATTAGAAGTGGAACATGGCCTTCCCGTTGTTCCTTTATACCTTAATGGAATTGTGATATTGGTAGCTTTAGATAAAGTCCCAGCTCCGTACTTTGTTCAACACACAGCTTTTGGATGGCCGACAAGTTCAATCGGCGACCGGAGAGACACCTATCGGCGATTGAGAATCATCCAATGAAAGCGCCCCGAACAGCCATCAGCCAATAAAAAGTTCCCATTAATCACAGAGCAAGCATTCAGTAACCCCTTGAACAACCCCCGGAATCCGATCTACACACCGCGTGCGACAGACAAATGTCCAGCTCAGGATCTTCCTGAAAAGGCTCATGACGACGATAACCAAGTTCTAGGCCACTTGACCGCGCATATCATTACGTGGAGGTTTTGATCCTTCTGTCACAAAGAATGCCCAATTTAATCTAATTAATACCATCATACTATACACAACTAATCTATACAAACCTGCGCATAACCATCCTCAACCTATCAACAGACCTCAGAACAGCCCGCCAACTACTACCCCCGATCCTAGCCGACGACATAGACATCGTAGATACACCTCTCCTACTAGTTCCACTCCCCATAACCTCGGGAACTTTCACAGGCATCCAAAGAAAAGCTCTCCGCCGATTTCCCGTATCACCCCAAGGCAATCTCCCACCCCGAACATTAACCTGCAACGAAGGATGCAAGAGACGAGGTTCACCCAACGCAGCATCCCTCTCCTGTCTCCATTTCACAAACTCCTCTTCCCCGGTCCCCTCCTTCACATGCTTATTCCCCTCTTTCTGATCCTTGACCGTCACAAAAGCCTTAGGCGCCCGATTAGTCGTAGAATCAGCAGGCGGATAATCATGTCCCGTATACAGCTTAACATGCTCCGGTAGCGCCAATAGCTTCCGCATAGACTGATACAAGGCGCGGGCATCTCCATGCGGGAAATCACACCGCGCACTGCCCACGTCCGGGTTGAAGATCGAGTCTCCTGTGAATACATTGCTGCCTATCATGTACCCACTGTGATCGGGCGTGTGGCCGGGCAGATGGAGGACTTGGGCGGTGATGCGTCCGATCTGGAAGGTCTCGTCATCTTGGAAGAGGTGGTCGAATGCGGTGGAGAGGTCGTTGGGCGGGATGTTGTATCGTTGTGCGAATGTGGCTTGGACTTGGCGGATGCGGTGGCCGGTGCAGATGGGGACTTTGGGGCTTGATTCTGTTGATGATGAGGGTGATGAGCGCTGTTGATGATGGAGCTTGGTCTGGATGTAGTGGGCTGCGGTGAGATGGTCGGCGTGAGCGTGTGTCTCGAGGATTCGAGTGATGTGATAGCCCTTTGAGGCTGCAAAATCAAGAAGTTCGTCGGCTGAGGTTGTAGTCACGGTGAGTTGGGATGGATCGAAGTCGAGGACTGGGTCGATGATCACGGCTTCGTGTGTCTCTGGACAGGCTACGATGTATTGCCATGTTGAGGTTTGTTTCTCGAATATGGGATGGATGATTGGTTCCATCGTGTGATATTGCTGGTGCCTCTTCTGTTCGTTGGGTAGATGTTGCGATAGTGATGTATATACTTCGTTCATGTAGCTTTTTTTAAATCATACAATGAATGAATCGATGTGTATGTCGGTTTCTTTTCTAGAATATTTTCTCTTTTTATACGTAGAAACCTCTTACACATATCCATTCCTCTTCTCGGGCGAGATGCTTATATGACTCTATACAATTGCCATCTCAATCCCGATCCCCGATCCCCTACCTCGCCGACCTGAAGGCTTTTCAAGGTCCCCGGGTTCCTGTCCAAATTCGGTAGCAATATATCCATCTCCTTATCTTATCCGCCACTGCACCAAAACAACTGAATAGCAACTATTCTTACTATGTATAAAAAAGCAACCACAAGCCCATCGAACGCCATGACCACCAGACATACGTATCACCGCCCCAGACCACCTTCCCAGGCACTCAGGAGTACTTGAAATTCCTCAGATCTGCGACAACATATGTCACTGGTCGAGAATTGCGGTGTGCATCGCCATAATGGCGTTGATGGTGTGATAAGCCGGTCGCCGAACGGATAAGCTTCAATCGCCGATACCCTTTTTCGCGGCACACCCCTTGATTTTGTCTTGGTTGAGACCTGCCTGGTCGGAATGTGAGACTTGGATAACAGATTACAGGTCGGGGATTTTGCCCGGTCGAATTTGGTTGTTACTACGTGTTGATTGGATGGGCTGATAGGCTGGCTGGCTGTGTTCGATCTGGTAGCCAAGTTGCTGATATGGGAGGGCAAGGGGTTTCCCGTGGGAAAGGACAAGTTGGTGCTATGGGAGAGAAGGACGGTCACGAGAACAATGACCGCATAGGTTCCTAGTTGGGTTACTAGCAGGAGAGTAAAGGGGAGGTTCTTGGTCAGATGTCTCGTTCATCTGATATATTGGGAGAGGGCTGGTTGGTGCTTGATTTGAGAGGTGTATCATGGTTTCGATATGCTACGGTAGGGCTTTGTTGGTCGCCGAATCGGTGTTTATTTGTCTTTTCCTACTTAGTATAGGAAACTATAACTTCGTTCTTCGGGGACTTTCAATTAGCGGTATTCTGCGGATGTCGAGCATAATTGACAAGCTCAACTTGTTGAGTTGGGATGTGAGAAGCTCGTTACGTATTGTAGGTGCTGCATGTGGAAGTTACTGATACAACAGTGTCCTCTTGTGGACGACTACAGGGGAGGTTCTAGCGCCATTCTCGAAGGAGACCAGTGGGTATCAGTGTCAAGGAGAGCTGGAAGATCGCCTGGCCTGGTTGGCCCCTTCTCACAGCTCTGTTTGCTTTTGTGTAACAGTGGTCCTGCTTGCCAATAAGGTGGGAACAATGGCTGCATGGCCAATATCCGCAATAGAGGAGATGCATTGATGATTGTAAATGATTGTTCTGCTACTTATCACTATATTAATGGGTCTCCAACCACTACGGGTCCCGATGAACACAGAAGAAATGATTTAAGTGTGCTTCTATCATGATGTAAGTGGAGGCAGATAGATGACACCCGATAAGACTCGGTTCCTGCGGATCCCCTCGGATATCATCGAAAGTCCAGCTTTCCCGCCATCCGTATCCGCCTCCGCTCCCGTCCCCCCAGGCTGCCTGTCTTCAACATGTCCTATGAAGTAATTGTGCAACAAGAAAATCCTCTAGCAATCATTCATAACTCGGTAGTCGTAAGGGGTTATGAGATTCATGAAACGATTTGCTTATATGGTATCAAAAGTCGCATAGCCAAAAAGTTCAATTGCATCGCTGCGGTTTAGTCGGTGTAGCTGGCTGTAGCCTTCGTTGTGTCCCTGGTCTGTTTAAGGAACGGTATCAGATCTGTCCCGCCTGTTCCCCTGACGCCGGCATTGAGTTTCTCATGAGAATTATCCACTAATGTCGACGTTGTCGTGGCCAGGTTTGTCCTCGAAGATACTTGGTTCGGCGGCGGAGTCCTTGCAGCCATGATGATGTATCGAGTCACCATCCGCACATGCTTATCGCGGAATCCCCCAAGTGACATAACCGCCATATTGTATGCGTCCCTCAGAGCAGATCCTGGCTTGTGGCTCAAAACATAGGATCTCACATTGGACGTGCGGAGCATCATTTCCAAGAAGCGTCGGTGAGGGCCTGGCATGTAGTTTCGCATGTTCTGGGAATATACAGTCAGTATCGACATTGCTTGGTCTAGATAATTCCTTAGAGATCAACTCTTACCTGCATAAAACCAGTCATGACTTGAGGATTGATCTTGCCGTGAGGCTTGGTCTCTCCGGTGGCTGAATGCTCCACGCCCAAGAAAATGTCGAAGGCTTGGATCAAAGAACTCTGGGCATTGCTACCACCACTGTATTGGTGCCACTCGCCTCGGCCTTCTCCAATATCGTAGAATACACCATTTGGTAACCCAGCCGATGTCATGTTCTTACTGCCGGCCAAGTATGGGCGTAGTTGATGGTAAAAGACGGGTGGCGCACAATTTTCATACATGCGTTCCAAGAGGTCACCAAGTTCCTTCAGACCATAGTTCAGTTGCTCGAGACGAGAAACAACACGCTGGTTATCATCGACAGTGGCTCCATGCATGGCGTCGAGCATTATCTCGATGAGCTGCGCTCCCTTGGCCTCGATAGCGACAGAGAGAACGAAAAACCATTCTTCGTCCTTGGTGCCAGTAAACGAGGTCACCACTGATAGGTTGTCCGGATCCGTAACATCCGTATCAGCGGAGGGTACCGAAAAGTTCCAAAGATTGAGGGCAGCATAAGTAGCACATGGTGGTAGCTCTAAGTGGTTCGATACTTCGATGAATGGGCGTGAGATGCAGGGGGGTAGCACCTGTATAGTTAGTGTCAGCGAAGGCACGGGATATGTAGTGATAGACAAGAAAGGTAATATTGAGATAAGGGGAGTAGTACATCTTTCGGCTTGTCACCACCCCAGATGTAGGCGTGTGTAAGGTAAGCAAGCACAACATATGCTCTCCGCCACTCAGGTTCTCCCCGCAACTTCTTCGTAGAGAGTATACCCAGGTCATCTACGGACCTCCTGATAGTACCTGACCGAATGAGCTCAGGCAAGTCTTGAGCGATGTCCTCCCATGGAGAATAGTAAGGGTCTTCCAATCTTCGTAAGGGAGGAACTTCCGGAAGGAACCCGTTCTGGAGGGAGACACCGTACTCAACAAGCGAAATTTCGGGTGTGTAAAGCATCTTAAGATGTGCAAATGAATATATAGCTTGATATACAAGACTTTGTGGAATAGTTCATTATGCAGGTAAGAGTAGATTCAAGTGTTTATATCGTATTCCCAAGGAGGGACGGAAGAAAGCCGGATCCACAGGGATCCAAACAGGGGCATCTGAATGAGCAAAGACAGGTTATTCTCCGTTCCACAACAACTATTCTAGAGCAGAAAGGCAGTAGGTTAGCGGAAACTTAGCAACCACCCGGGTTTCTAGAGTGGATGCTGTGTTATCGCTCTTCCGGCAACACGGATGGTGAGGCGGAAGCGGAACGGTATCCGGATCCGGTGGGAGGGACAAACGGAAGTGCCTTGTGTCACACGCCAGTCCATATATAAATGTTAATTGGTGACTGTCAGCGACTGGTTTCTGGTGTTCATACATTCCTTCTCGTTATTTTTCGATATCCTGTTCAATTACCATCCAAATCCACAATGTCGAAGTCGAATGGCGTCAGCCTGGCATTCCCCGCCGAAGCAGCGACAAAGGAATATGCAGCATCTCTAGACTCTTCTGATAGCCTTGCTGCGTTCCGGGAGAAGTTCATCGTCCCATCGAAAGCAAACATTGCTTCCAAAAAGCTAGCAAAGCCTGGTTAGTACCATCCTGACAGCTGTAGATCTCGTCACTGATTGTCACAGGCCTTTCGCCCGAGTCATGCATTTACTTCTGCGGTAACTCACTTGGCATTCAACCCAAGGCCACAGCAAAGTACTTAGAAGCACAGTTGGACACTTGGTCATCTATCGGAGTTGGCGGCCACTTCACTGATCTTGAGGGCTCACCCTTGAAGCAATGGCAGCTGCTCTCAGAGCAAGCAGCTGAATCAATGAGCAAGATTGTGGGAGCAAAGCCAGAAGAAGTCGCAGCGATGGGAACACTTACAACGAACCTTCATCTTCTGCTGGCTAGTTTCTACAAGCCGACGCAAACCAAGCACAAGATCTTGATGGACTGGAAGGCTTTCCCAAGTGATCACGTATGTTCGAAAGAGGCTGCCTTCTGCTATCACGGCACTGACTTCAATATAGTATGCTATCGAATCTCATATTGCCTGGCACGACCTGGATCCTAAGGAGTCTATGGTGCTCATCGGCCCAGACGAAGGCGAATACGAGATTTCCACCCAGAAGATTTTCTCTTATATCGACAAGCATGCTGATGAGGCTGCTATGATTCTCCTTCCTGGTATCCAATATTATACTGGACAACTGTTCGACATTCAGAAAATTACTAAATATGCTCATTCACGAAACATGGTTGTTGGCTGGGATCTGGCCCATGCCTTCGCTAATGTTGAGCTAAACCTGCATGATTGGAACGTTGATTTTGCAGCATGGTGCACGTATAAGTACGGAAATGCCGGTCCTGGGGCAATGGGAGGCCTTTTCGTGCATGAACAACACGGAGAAGTCGATTACAGCGCGGGAGAGGATGCACCCAAGTTCCGTCACCGTCTAACCGGATGGTATGGTGGTGATCGATCGGTCAGATTCAAGATGGATAACAGTATGTGTGCACTTTGCTATAGACAACTCCGTGGGCTAGTAAGCTGATTCGATTGATATCCAGAGTTCAAGCCCATTCCTGGCGCTGGAGGGTTTCAGATATCGAATCCTTCGGCTATCGACCTTGCGTGTCTTTGTGCCGCCCTATCGGTGTTTGATGAAACATCAATGGCAGATCTTCGCAAGAAATCAAAGATGCTAACAGCATACCTTGAGTTCCTTTTGCTCAAGGATACTGAAGAGGAATCCAGGCCGTTCAGCATTATCACGCCCACAGACCCCGATGCGAGAGGCGCACAACTGAGTCTGCTCCTCAAGCCTGGCCTGTTGCAGAATGTTGCGCAGAAGTTGCAGGAAGCAGGAATAGTCTGCGATAAGCGGGAGCCGGGTGTCGTGCGTGTTGCTCCGGTTCCTTTGTACAACAGCTTCAGCGAGGTTTGGACATTTGTGAATATCTTCAAGGGTGCGCTACAACAGTGACGGGGGTTCACTAGATCGCTTGTGCAGGACTGAGTTCGATTTTGATAGTGCGCTCTTTGATGGATAGTTTTAGAGATAGATACCAACATATTTTATTCTTAGTGTGAGAGCTTGAGGATCCCTCTGAGGAATGGTCCACAGTCACTGTGCAAAAGCAAATAATATATGTAGGGACTTTATGAGAGACTCATACTGTCGAAGTCATAAGTTTCCGAATCCGTTTCTCGGATCACCACTTCGCAGAAAGTCCTGGGCTTGCGAAAAGAAGTTTGTGGCTAATATTGAGTATTCATCGTAAGTAGGCGAGCCGACACCCATAGGATACTGTGCATCGGCCGTGATGATGGGGGTCTGAATGTTGAATTGAGATGTTGGCGACTGTGGTAGAGATTGTTGTGTATGCAAACGAAAAGGCTCCGGTAAAGGGGACGTCTGCGACACTTCGGCTCCAGGTGTGGGAGCTTCAGAATAGAGTGAGTCCCCAAACATGCGACGGGCTGACTCTGCGTCACTATTGGAAGAATACTCGAGGATCTCCCAGAAGCGCGAGAGATCTATGAGTAAGTACTTATTCTGAGCACCAGACTCAAGTTCATAGGATGCTGACACAGCATCTTCCAAGCTCTGCAATCTGTCCGCCTGTCTGAAAGTCAGCAGATAAAAGTGAGTATGGAAAGATATTCCCTTACCAAACGTGCCATATGTGGCCACTTGCGTCCTAGATTCTGCACGAAACTAACACATTTGTAAAACCTGTTGCGTTTCTCTTCGCGAATGGTAGTGTTCTCCGTGAAGCTAAGCTGCAATTCAATGGTTGCTACCACGGCAGCACTATAGCCCAAGAAAGGATCCGAGACAACGAAAGATCTTTCTTCGAAGTAGTCGATAAAATGAATTATCCATGTCGTGTGCGACGAGATCAAGTCCGAGCTGTGCTGCAAGAAAATCTCGGGAATCGTACTCCGGAAATTTCTGAGGCTGAGAGAGAGCAATAGCGGGTGATTTAAAAGACACAGAATCGTATGATATAGGAACTGATTCAGTAACCATGGTCCCCAGTAATCCCTCCTTTCTTGTAGATCCTCAAGTGTTCTTTCACTCAAGTTCGCTGGCTTGAACCTGTGGCTGTATGGCATCTGCGTTTCCCGTTCCATAAGAGCAGTCAATATTCTCGAATACTCAGATTGTGAAGACCATGGGGGTACGTTGCTAGGCTTCCCATGGCGTCTGACATATTTTGCAGTTTTGGCAAATATTTCACTGAGCATGATCACGTATGCTAAGATGCCCTGATCCTGCATGCCTGATGACCGCATTTCATTCGCCCCGTTGCTTGATGAAATCGTTGGAGGCGGCCGGCTAGGACTTTCTGGGAACTGGGGAAAGCAGCCATCAGGAAAATCTAGATTGTCGAAATCAACTCCGTGAAGACGCTTCAAGAGACAAATACTCCAGAAGCAGCGCCTGCGCTCTTCACGTGCAGCTGGGGGTTGTACTAAGCCAGACTCTAGGCTAAGGTTGGCACATTGTGCCAAGTTCATTGCCAAACTGCAATGGATGCTCGAACGGTGTGTGTTTCCATCTAAAAGTGATCAAGTCAGCAAGGCTATCATTCTGACATGTCAGTGGTCGTATTACTGGCAAAATCCACCAAACTCAAGAGGCATAGGCTCTGAAGAGTTGAGAGCTCTATCGGCCCTTCCGATACCCTCCTCATAACCAAGCCCCTGGCTACTTCCGTATAGCCATTCACAAGTGACGTAAACCCGCCAGTCTGTGAACTCTCGTCCTGAGAGAACCGAATGCTCAGAGCCAACATCGCATATACTATCTCTGGGTCACGGCTCCTCAGGCTATCGAGGAAGCCTTCCTTCTGAAAGAGTGGAAGGGGCTGCGAGTGGCAATATATCAGATAAAGCTCTGCCATCGCGAGCACCTTTTCCCAAGTGGGGAAGGGGATATTTGGGCTTAGAAGGGATGCCACTGCGTTGCTCATTACAGCAGTGCGAGGAGCAGCTTCCCGTGGCTCTTTTCTGGGGCTGTTCTGCCTAGATTGAACAAGTTAGAACACAGATGACATCGCATGAGGGAAGCTATGTATTACCCCAGGGCATCGAGAACTTGCCCCATTCTAGCCTCAAGGCTTCCCAGTCGTTCCTCCTGTAGGAATATATCAGAATTCAGCAATAACTCTGTCATATATATTGGCTTACCAAGATTTCCGAGATCCTGTTCTCTGAGCCGGGAGGCACAGAAGCCCCCTCCCGTGGGATGGCAAGCCCAGCTGTCGAAGATCTATGTTCTCCAGCATAGGCGCATTGCTGGTTTAACCGGGCGCACAAGGAGCAGACTGGCTGCTCCCCAGGACATTTTGCCTTCTTGCGTCTGCGAAGAGTCAGTGAGGAGTGCGTCATATAGTGCAAGATCGGACTAATGTTCCGTCTCACCTGCATGGTTCACAAGCTTGCCGCACTCGCTTAGCCGGCCGCTCAGCAGATGTGGACGCCATGTCACACCCTTATATTCGCGTAAATGTGCAATGTATATAAATCATGGGATACTGGGACTTTTTTGTCAGTTACACCTGCTAGTGGAAGCCTTGTGCTGCCGTACGCAGGGACGCTTATACGCTCCTAGGAGGTACAATATCCCCACTTCTTGAGTATTCTCATTGACAGGTAGCAGTTACCATAGACTATTATCTTCATTGTAAGGCTATCTAAGCCTTGACATCCAGATCGCAGAGCAGACGATATGTACTATGGCTTGAACATCTTGGAGACTGGGATGTTGAACTACCAGCCAAACGTTGGAAGGCCTTCCGCTGATTGTCAACTATTTGGCCGTATCTTGCTTCCCAATTTGGATAAAGCGCCATAAAAAGTATGGATGACTAATCTACGGACAAGCTTCACCTCGATCAGGTAACTACATACAATACGTCTGGGCGATGGTAGCCTATTCGACAATCTTGGGAGGGGAAGTGGCCAGTGTAGCCGAATGATATACAATGTTTATGACCCTGAAGCAGGTTATACCAACTGAACCGAGGAAGTCCAGCAGCGTCGCATCATGCCATTGTAGTAATTCTACAAGCGTTTACTAGGCTCTGCAACCTTTATGTGCTGTGACATGTATCTTTAGACGCAGACAGTGTACAGTTGCAGGCACCCTCAATCTTGCCTCTCCTCGGATCATTGGTCAATGTTTCTCTATCCACCCGAAACAAGCGGACGATGGCTGGGACACAGGGTACTCGGGAATATACGAGAGAAAACGAGGCAGGTATTAACGCTTTGACGCTTTGGAGAAAGTTATATACAACGTCAGTTATCTTTCTTTCTAGCTGCCTATCAGAGAAATAGAGGTACACTGTGTCAAAGTTGGCGAGGACCGCATTTACGCCTTGCCGAACCAGGTCTTGTGGCCCTATGATGAGCATCAGTAAATCTATCAATCACGGACCCCCATTGAAACACGGTATTTCGAGGTGCAACTTACAAAGACCATACGACCCATAGCGTAGGTGGTAGCTAAGAAAGATATACATTAGCCGTGATCCATTGTCAGGGTGTATTTGAAGAGCCTACCGATGCCCATGCCGTAGACGGAGATGAGGTAGGGCCACATGAGGTAACCACTGCGCTCAGTCTGTAGAGATCCCGTATGTTAGGTTTCTTCATTTCTTTTGCGAGCTGGGATTTATTCGCGGGTCAACGGACCTTCCACCACTGGCGCTTGCCGTCGTGCTGCTGGAAAAGGCGCTGGTAGTAAGGGACACGGTTCTCACGGAACACGAACCTATGGAGAGCAAATTATGTTAGCAAGTTGTTTCCAGTGTATAGTCTCGCTTCCGAGTCCCAATTGCACGGAATATTCAGGCAATTGAGCAGCAGAAAGTCCCGACCGACAAGCCGTCAGCCCGGCCGCGCTCAGGAAGCCATGCGGGGGTACAATTGACGAAATGAAATCAGCGAACATACCCAGCCAGACGAGGAGCGGTGCGGAACATTTTGGCGGTGCGCAAAAGCGACAATGGGGGTTATGGAGGTAGTAGGAGGGACAATGGCAGATGAGAGGCTAGCAGCAACAATGATCAGTCGATGTCGTGAAGTGTGGACCCGAACGGTCCTTGAATATCACGTGACTATCCTCCCACTTCCGCCTTTAGGATGCGAGGCTTAATAATTATCACGTGAATATGCAAGCTCCTAACCGTAGCGAGTATAGCGTGTTCTGGTGGAAGCCCGGCCTGCCCAGAAAAGAAGTAGTCCGCGGAATCAAAGGTGTGTGCAGAGCAGACGAAAGCCGCCATTTACCCGTGATCATATGTGCCACTAACACACTTTGTGATAGAGTGCGATTTATGAGGATGGTCAGATTTACTGCCGCCTTCCTTTCGCTCTCCTTTCCTCAAACCTCATGCGCCCGGCTCTTCTTCGACTACTGAAGAGGCCGTCAGCTCTCTCGGTTCTCGACTCCCTGATATCGATGCCAATTGGGGTTGAACAATTGGACGTCCGGCGCACAGCTAAATGTGTTCGATGCTTATCCAAGTCTCATAAGCAAGCAAGAAGCGCGTCAGCAGCGGAGTTGCAACAAACGCCTGCGAATGATTCCTCTTTCTCATCAACGAAACGAGCACTCAGCTTCCGCATATACGAAATCAATACGCCACACAAACAGGCCGCAGCTAAAGGTGGAGGCTCGGGCGACTCGACTCAAAACTCTTTTGCCATAGACCCTCGCAGCCTCGCGTTACAACCGGAGAGGTTGGACTTCGAATCGGACATAGGACATACAGATGACATTGGAACCCGATTAGTGGACGACCCGGTGCATCGGAACGATTTTGCACTCTGGGAGGAGCTACTGCGCTACCGGCAGCGACATTATGGTGATAAAGGCACGTTGGATATATGGGAGGGCTTGACGAACCGAGTTGACGGTGTGCAACTGCCCGTTGAAGGAGAAGTCGCCGATTTCTTTTGGCAAAGCTTCGTGGAAGCTGGCATACGGCACGGTGTCATTCTAAATGAAATCGCTAATTATGCGCTGGCGCTTTGGAGTACAACGGGGAAACGCTGGGAGGGTTTTTATGAGGCTGTTGTTGGTGGCTTTATTGACCGTGGCATGACACAGCAGGCTGTTGGATGGCACAAACGCCTTCATCATCCTCATTTGACACACCCGAACGATATCCTGCATGTCTTCCGGCCGATCGCTCGTTCTCGACAACAAAACAGAGTCACTGGAGCGATAAAGCCAGGGGGGCGGGCTGCCTCATCAAGCTTATGGGCCTTCCGCAGCATCTGCCGCATGACTCCAGGCCACCAGATCTATGCTCCCATCATGTCTACTCTGTTACGCTGTGGTCGGCTTGGCGATGCGCTTTCAATGCACAGACTCCTCATCCAAGAAAATGACCATCCACATTCTTTCGACGAATTCGAGCCATTACTAGAGAGCGCCAAACAGCACGGGCCATGGGCATCCTACCAAGAACTTCATAGCTATGCCTCCCAACGATTCCCTGAAAATATGATCGAAACCGATGATCCTGACAAACTCGCTGCGGAGACTCAAAGCAAGGTGGCGCATGAAGAGAGACCAATTAAGGACGAGTTCGGCGCCCGAATCTTTGCAACGGAGGCTCTTCACTTCGATACAATCCTTTCTGGCTTGAAAATGTTCGGCGTGCCAGCTCTTGGACCGCAATCTCTGCGGGAGATGGCGCTCAGGGCTCGGGGAAGTCAAGATATACTGAGCAAACTTCGTAAGCTTGAACGAGCAGGCATTTCGCTGGGGAACTCTGTCTTTGTGCGTCTTCTTCGCAAGCTTGCCACGGAGAACCGCGACATCCTCTTATCGGACTTGCTCCATAGCGACGAGCATCCCGATGTCCTTGAGGATGCGCGCATACAGGAGTCTCTACTTCTATCTTACTATATGAGTCAGGATTGGCGTCATTATCATATGACCCTTGCAGTCTTGAGTGAACTATCCAACGAAGGGCCAGCTTTGTTCAACATCCATTTTAGGAAACATCTTGCAGCTGGCGAGTGGACTCTGGCCTCCAAGCTGGTTGATGAAATGGCACTGCGCAGTCAAAGCCTCACCAAAGAGAGCATTGACTTCATGGTTGAGAAGGTTCTGACGCCTCGCAGGCCCGGTGTCAGCCCGATCAAGGGTCAGCGCCGTTCCGAAGTCGTGGAAGTAACCTTCCTCTTCCGAGTCTTACGACGCATCGTTCCTGTGGGTGCTTCTGTGTCTCCTGACCTTTGGGTTGAGATGATTAAGCGATTTGGCATGATGAATTGTTGGGATGAGCTTCGAACATGTTGTCTCTGGCTGGCCCGTCATTATTCTTCTAACCCCAGACAAGACCACGCTCCTCTCCAGATCATCTCGCTATCGACTGTACAGCAATCGTCTCATACTACCTCACCTGACGAGCACGGCAATACCATTCTCGGGGCCATCTTCAGCAAACAGACGCAAGCCGCTCTCGTCTATTGGGGGTTCCGGATGCGAGTTTCCTCCAAACGAGACGACTATAATCCTTTCCACATGGAGGGAGGGAATTTTGTTCCTTGGGTGCGCGGACTTGTTCTCCTTCGGGAGCTTGGACAGAACGGTGTGCAGCTTTGGACGAGATGGATCAGACGAGCCTGTCGGCACCGACTTGCTGTTCTATACGGACGACCTCGCCGCTCCAGTCGTCACATGAGTCGCATGTTGCGACGGGAAAACCCATATAGTGTGGAGCGAGTCCTGGGAGATATTGACCGTGCGTGGGGACAGCCCCTCCTGCTCCAGGGTTGTGCACCCAGGGATGTGTATCGGCTGGTGAACCCACCCAGCTCGAAGATGTCTCAACGTCGAACACGTCGAACCTTCTTGAGGGAGAAAAGCCTGCGAGGGGCAGCCTTTGTGAGTAGCCGGTGAATATACTTCATATGTATAATATTGTATTACTACATAGCATTATGATAAAATAAATAAAATGTAATACTAGCCCAGCCCAAGACAAGACACACCGCTCACGTGAAGAAACCCGGGGCAACGCGGCCACACAACAAACGAGACAAACACGGGTGGGCTTCGCCACGGGCAATGGCGTGGCCCCGTCATTGAAGTCAGCGAAAATGCGAAACAGGAGCAGCCATGACCGACCCTTGTTCCTAAGAATAGGTTGGCAGGCAACGCGGCCAGACTCCATCTCCCAGAGCCTTGTTCATACTGGCCCACCGTTACTGGCAGATCAACACTGCCCTCGAAACTTTCTCATGACCCGTAAGGGTGATCCCAAGCCAAATGGCGCGGTTGTTGCCGTGGTTCAGGCTTTGGGAGGCCATGTAGTGCGTCTTGGTAGTCCACACTCTCTGCACATTTCACTCAGTGCTTTCACCAGTGGGGTTTATTGATTATTGCTCTGCCTGCTTGCCTGCATCATCCGCATCCTTTTACACATCCTTTATGGCCCGAATGTTGGATTCTTACTGTGTCTGATTCTTCTTCCTTTCTCTCCTCCCCCTCCTTTTCCTCACTGAAACAATAATTCTCCCTCATCAGGCGCATCAATTAATTAAACCCTTGAATCGAGTAGACTGATAATCCCCCCTTTTTCTCTTGATATACGCGCATTTTGTTGTATCACTTGTTGCTTGGACTTTTCTTCTTGCATGAGTCCTCCCGGCTTATATAGCATCTGAACGATCGATACCCTTTTCCAACCAAACAGAACGCGCAATCACTATGCTAGGACTAGGAGTTCTAGCGCTCCTTCCCTTCGCAGCGGCGAAGGCTGTACGGCCGCGATCCACTGCATGCAACAATTCCCCAGACTTGTGTTCCAAGTCATACGGTGAAATCACTCATCTGGGCGCACACGACAGTCCGTTTCTACGAGATGCCTCGACGGATTACTCTACCTTTGGAGACCAGTAAGTTCAATTGGGAAAGCAGAACGTCAATGCAGTTTGTTGACCAATTCATAGATACTACAACACTACACTCCAGCTCGACGCTGGTGTCCGTCTTGTCACAGCTCAAGTTCATAAGTCGAATTCACAGTGGCGTCTATGCCACTCTAGTTGCGATTATCTAGATGCAGGATTGTTGAGCACATGGCTGTCAGATATCAAAGGCTGGTTGGACTCCAACCCCAATGATGGTACGTTGGTGGCGGACTGTAATTACTCCCAAAAGAGCTAAGAACTGACATCTTCCGTCAATCACCAGTTGTGACTGTTTTGCTGGTCAACTCAGATGACGCAACAGCTTCTGATCTTCACTCGCAATTCGAAACGGCCAATCTCACCAACTACACCTACACTCCGACCTCCCAAACCTCCGCACCGAGCTCGTGGCCAACATTGCAGGAACTGATCAATAATGGTACCCGGTTGATGACCTTCGTGGCATCTTTGGACGCTTCCAACAACACGGTGGCACCGTATCTGATGGATGAGTTCACTTTTATCTGGGAGAACAACTACGATGTGACCTCCGCTTCCAACTTCTCCTGTGAGCCCGATCGTCCCTCGAGCGTCAAGAACGAGCTTTCCACCGCCTTGTCTTCCAACCGCCTCCCATTCATGAACCACTTTCTTTACCAAGAGACATTAGACATTGAGTATCCCAATGTCAGCTACATCTCTACCACCAATGCGGCTTCTGGAGGAACCGGAAACCTTGGCGACACAGCAACCAAATGCAAGAAGGAATACAATGGCCGCCAGCCTACCTTTATCCTGGTTGACTTCTTCGACAAGGGTCCCGCCATCGACACCGTGGACAGTTTGAACAATGTTACCAACGCTACTGGACGGAAGAACCTGACTTCCGTCAGCGTTACCAGCTCGGCCTCCACCTACTCGAACGTTTTCAAGGGTCTGGTCGAAGTCGTCCAGAAAGCCAAGGACGGAGCGAATCCCAGCATGGGAGAGTGGATCTGGGCTGGTGGAGATTGGGGAAGTCTGCTGGGCGGCGGTATTGCAGTCTAAGCTGACCGCTGTGACCTCATACTTCGTTGGAATCTTCACCGTCCTTTCATCCTTCATTTTGATTACTAGCCTATTTAGTACATTGTCATTTTGCATCTATTCCACATATTTACAGTTGCAACATCAGCGCTGGATTTCAAAGTTTTGGACGAGCCTCACGACATTCCTTTGCTATAAATAGGGGGGTATAAGGTTGGCGTTCGGATGATTATCACATTTTGCACAGTGTACCTAACTGACATGACCGTTTCACCATGTCCATAAGCAGCGATAGCATGTAAAAGAAAGGTGCAACTACCGGAGCATATCCACTCAATCGAGTATTACGCACACACATCCCCTCGTAATATCTTACTCAGTCATTTTTCAACAACTCACGGACCTTGTTCACTTTATCCTCAAAGGACTGCTCCTTATCGGTCCTGTAAGCAAGAAAGAGTTAATCATCTTAGCCTGTGTAACCACACCCCACCCGAGCCTCTAGATAAACAAAAGTCCCCAGAAAAGAAGCAAACAAACAAGAAAAATCAAAAGAAAAGAATGAATGAAAACACACCTCGACCCAACACGAATATCCGTCTGAATCCTCACGATACCCTGCTGATGAAGAATCGTATGCGCCTGACCAATAACCTGATGAACTCTATCCCAAGGACCCTCTAGTAGTATGATAGAACCCGTCAGTCAGCAAGCAGCCAATAAAGCATGCCCATGCGCATGCATCAATATAACTAAGTACTACTAGTACAAAAGTATAGTACCATCGGAGGATAAGTTTCCCAATAGCGGTGGTATACATACCGAGAGTGGTGCCAGCTGAATGCATGACGTATTTCAGGCCGGATTTCTCAATAAGGCGCTGAACATCGGCTATTTGGGCGGACACGGAAGGGGATGAGGTGCCGATCTATTATCGTTAGTATAGTATAGTGTAGGATTTTTAGCGAAGTTTACTAAAGTTGGAGAATGCATATGGGGTTATGGGGTTAGAGGTTTGTGGTTCGTGGGTATGCATGTGGGATGATTGATTGATAGATTGACGCTGGACGGACATGATGGGAATGTTTGAATGAATGAATGTGTCACGTCACTTTCATTCCTGAACCGGGTATTGATTGCATGGGTGAAGATGCGGGAATAGTCAAACAGCATGATGCAAATAACTAGACAGTTGCAAGGGAAGGAATAACCCACTGGAATCAAACAGAAATCGGCGGTGCAGTGCGGGGGAGTCGGGATGGATGAGGATGTCTCGGCCATATTTGTTGTGCAGAACCAGATTTGGAGTTGGATAGTTAGTAGTTGTAACTAAATGAATATTCAATTCAATAGAATTGGAAGATCTGATTGCGTGGGAAATGATTTCTACTGGAGGATGGGAATGGATTGACAAGTGGAAGCAGCCAGCCACTTTTTCGGCGGGCAGTGAGGAGAGGAGGAGTTCATCAGCAAAGCGCGGGGCCTTAACGGCGGACGGAGGGGCAATCGTGACTTGCAATCAGTTCGCATTGACATTACACCACTCTATCAGGAGATGCGCATTGGCTAAGTACAACTACTAGCTTATAATCATCGGAAATTGTCGTTACTCGCTTCTCTATGGTGGAATATAATCCCACCCGCTCTCTGAGGAAAAGCTGGCAGGCAACTCCACCGGCGAAGATCTGTACGTTTCCGCGGACAACACATCACCAGAACCAAGATGGAAGACGTATCTTCGAGCACAATGCGTTGCTGTGGATGACGATCGGTTTGTGAGGTCTCATATCTGAAGCCAACTTTACCCTGGCGAAACCCGACCGGGAGGAATTAGTGCTCCTTTGATGCAGGTTTGCTTTTTTTTTTTTTTTCATCTTCCTTCTTCCCCGGATTCCAGCGCCTCCAGCAGCATCATGACCGGTTGGTACTAAATTTGGGCCGACGGCCGAGGATGTCCCTAAGACTCACTATCAACTAGATAGACTAGACTACTGCTGTGGGTGTGGGAAGATGGATCTGGATCTAACGATCCTGGGGCAGATGCTAGTTTTACTAGCGAATCGTTTGTCCGATTTTCCCTTTGGTGACCCTCTTTTTATTCCTTGCTCTTATTTCTGGTTTCTCAAAGAACAAGTCAATAATGGTTGTCCCACCCAGTTCCTATGAGGGGGAAACACAACTGACAAGAGGACCTATGGCCAACAATGGCCTGCAGAGAAAACAAAGGAGGTGCTCGAGGCTCTGGCAGGATAAGACGGGAAGGGAAGAACGCCTTCAAATCGTCAAATCGCACTGGGCCCTTGCTTGGGTCGTCTGTCATCTGCAATTGTTTCGGTCCGCCCCTCTGGTACCAAATTCGCATTCACCAACCTAGATTTGTCGACTTCTCTTGCCTCGTGGCTAATCTCCTATCCTCACTGGCTTCGCTCACCCTCCTTGATCAATTTCATTTTCAGCTGAGATTATTTCTTCTCCTTCAGTTGGCCGACTCTCCTTCTGAACAGCCCATCCGACCGGGTGTGACGCAGCCCTGCTGGTCCGACCGTTTTGTCTTCCAGTGCGCTTCGTTAGTTTGTCCCGATAGTTCACTAGCGACTACGGCAGTATCGCTCGCATGATTCAGCATATTCCGTGACGCTCAGTCAACTCTATCTACCTTGTACTCCTCACCCTCGACCTCCAACCAGCGTCTGCTCAGCTGTCCACGTTTCTGACCGCCTCTTCTCGTCGCGGTGCAGCGTCAGGACCCGGGCTCTGTCGACGTTTGCGTGCCCGACGCCTTGCGTTTAAGCGCTCACCCAGATTTCGCTTCGGACGGTAACCACTACTCGTTACTTTTCTCATTTACGAAGTCTTTCTTATCTTGTCACAGTATTGGCTAGCTGCTCGTGTCGCTTGAAGCGTCAGATGCGCGCTGTGGTAACAATACTGAGACCTTTCGAGATAAATCTGCGCGCCGTGATATGATTGGCATGGGATCCGCCTAAGGCTCGCACGGCCAAGCGCCACGGGGCTGAGACGACCTAATCCCTGCACAAGGCTCGTCCTTCCCAGATCTAGCGACTGTTGCCACTAGACGCAATCGGGTTGGGGGATTTCCCTCCAGAATCCCTGAGCTCATCACTTGCCGTGCGGGTGATTGAGTAGGCCTTAAATTACTGAGATCGATCACCTGAGAATAGTGGGCACAGTCCGTTCGATTTCATCGAGCAGCTTATCCTCCCATCCGTTGAGAGCCAATTGGCCGATTGTAACGAGGCTCCGTACTTGCAAGAAGCGTGAATACTTGCCTGAAAGAGAGACAGTTGAAGAGACAAGATTCGCCCGACTGTTGAACTAGTATTTTAGATCAGCTACTCCCCTCTCTCCACGTTCAGGCTCGCGCTGCGCTGGACGCTTATCCATCCCCCTGGAAGGCCCAGTGTCCGTTTTAAGTGATTTGCATCTGCGTACATGAAGAGGCTGCATGTTCCCTTTTCCACTGCACACTGAATTCTTGCCTGCTGCGCCTCGGACTTTTTCCTTGCGGGACTAATTCAAGCCCACGTGACTCTATACATCACGTTGCGCGCATACCACGGAGCTAGAACGTTTGCTGTTACTATATTAACCAGGGCTGTAGCATTCTTGCGGACGTCTGCTTGTGGCATTTGTCATGGTTCTTACCTCAGTCGACTACCATCGTCATTGTTCGTCTTCCACTTACCTGACCAATGACAAAGCCCAATCTACTAGAGCTCCCAGTAGGAGCTCGGCTCGTTTACCTCGCGGAAGGCGGCGCCAATGTCATCTATCGGATCCTCGCTCCGGCACAGATGGACTTTGATGGAAGAAATGATCTCCCTGTGACTGTTTCCAACTCACTACCTAGCACAACAGGTACATTCCAAGTGCCTGCCAAGTTTAAGGGTAAACTGCTTCGACTCCGCAAGGATACGAGCGCAGGCATCTCTTATCAGGAGATTGCACGCAATTTTGACAGATGCATACGTCCTCTTTTCAAACCAGAAGAGCTGGTTGATCAGGAGCTCGTTTATCTCCCCAGAGGGCTTGTTCAAGGGTGCAATGAACAGCTACAGGCAGCAGAGCGAAGCGGCCAGCGTCCAAAACGACGCCAAGGGGTGTACCTCTCTACGGTGGAGCCGTTTGGGCTACTCATAACAGACATGACTACATTCAGCATTCCCGGAACGACGCTGTCAGAGTTGAAACCTAAGTGGCTAATTCAATCCCCCTCTGCACCCCCGAACTCCCGGAGATGCCGAACCTGCGCACTCCGCGATATGAAGAACCAAAAGGCACGCAAGAAGGGATTGGCGGAAGAACAATCATTCTGCCCCCTCGACCTGGTATCTGACAGGTTCGACAATGTCCTCCGTGCGGCCCAATTTGTCAAGGGATGCAAAGACCAGCCACGGCTGGCAAAAGTACTTTATCGAAATGGAACGCTGCAGAGGCTCCTGACACATCAGAAAGCCTTACAGGATGTGGGGCTTTATGGTCCACCGCCAAGTTCGCGCGAAAAGTCACTTGCGATGACGCTGCGAGACTGTACAATGTTCATCAGGGTAGGTACATCCATAGCTTTCGCCGGCGCGCCACGTGTCCGCTAACATCAGCATAGATGCCACGCGACGATTCCGGCCGTGTGGAGATTAGGCTGGGGGATTTGGACCTCAAAACCGGGGCTGGCGGGAAAGCCAAGTACTGGCTGGACCTGGAGCACCAATTGATCGTGGAGGACTGGTACGCAGGGGCCAAGAACAACGTATCGGAAAGCGAGTGTGCTCAGCAGAGTCCACGGGCGCATTCACAGTCCTCGATATAGGGGTCCGTAATAACGTGTCTTGAACTATTTCCTGCGTCTTACAGCTACAATCTGCAATAGCAGCTGCGATGATTAGGGGTTTCACAGCACCCTATTGAGGTATGCACCAGGCGACCCATTATGGCATGTCGCACGGTAATGATTGACGGCCTTTCTCTTTCTTCGTTTCTTGTGCATCGTGCTTTTGATATCATGTTTCTACTCACTTTTTAATGTTCGGTTGGCATATTTGCTTCATGATTATGTTGCTTGCATTTTATCGGGGCAGGGAGGGTCAGTGATACGTCTTGCTACAAATTTAATGCATCTCTTTTCCGGTTTCGGTCATGGTTCTTGCTTGATGTGTACACTAGTTACTTAGGGATTCACTTCTTACTCTATGGCTTTATTGGATAATATATACACTTCCGCAGTACTTGATATCATCTCATAGCAGTATCTGTGTCTTAAGTATAATTCAATGTAGTCTCT